CCCAGTCTTGGTAGAATGACATTATGTAGTAGGTGCCCTGTGAGGCCCCGTGGCACAGTCTGCCTATTCATCTGAGCCAGGTGTTACAGGGGTGTCCCATGTGTGGGTTGTGTATGCTCTCCTGTTGCAGTTGAGTTTTGATTGCTGTTGGCATGTCAGTGGCTGGGATTGACCATCACGTTGACTGGCTGTGAAGGCTGGATGTGACTACATTGGACAAGCTATTATTTGGGGGTTGACCCCATGGAGCTGGAGTCACTTAACTTTAGCAGGGCTCTGGTGTCAACAGAGTCTGCATTTTGGTTTGTCATTTGTGGAGCTGATTGGGTGGTACCTGGTGTGATCTGAAGCTGGCCATTGGGTGTTTTTGTTCTGGAGTGTCTTGGGAGTGGCTCCTGTGCAGGCTAAGGTCATCGTCTCTTGTGCTGGGCTTAGTGGCACTTGGGAGAGGCTATGCTCAGAGTCAAGGCTGGCTTCCACTAGTGCTGGTCTTGGGACCTTTTGGTGGGCACCACATTGTGAGTTGAGGCCAGCTGCCACGTGTGCCTGATTTGTGGCTGCTTAGTTGAAGCTATGTTCTACGACAGTGATGGCAAACCTATGACACGCGTGCCAGAGGTGACATGCGAACTCATTTTTTTGGTTGATTTTTCTTTGTTAAATGGCATTTAAATATATAAAATATCAAAAATATAAGTCTTTGTTTTACTATGGTTGCAAATATCAAAAAATTTCTATATGTGACACGGCACCAGAGTTAAGTTAGGGTTTTTCAAAATGCTGACACGCCGAGCTCAAAAGGTTCACCATTACTATTCTAAGACAACACTGGCTGCAGCTCATGCCAGGCTTGGTGCCACCAAGTTACAGCGAATTGAGACTGGTCTCTGCTTATGCTAGGCTTGGGGCTGCTTAGCAAGAGGTATAGGGCACACTGAGGCCAGCTGCTCCTGGTTTGGGGTTTATGGGCCATTGGGAAATTTTAGGAAAGTCCTCAGCATGAGCCAATGCAGGCCACTTGTGTGGAAAAGCTGCTGGAAGTGGCCCACTGCCCAGGGTTCTTGTGCTCTCTTTTTGAAAAAGAACTCACTGTCCAACATACCAGTCTGTTATAAATGGGGAAAGCAAATGTATGCTTCTGTTCACATTTTTGTCTTTTGTATCCAATAAAAGGGACAAATGTGTATGTAATATATATATATATATATATATATATATATATATATATATATAGTATATATACGCATACATATATATAATACATATATATAATACATATATATATATATATATACATATATATATATAGTGTGTGTGTGTGTGTGTGTGTGTGTGTGTGTGTGTGAGAGAGAGAGAGAGACAGAGAGAGAGAGAGAGAGAGAGAGAGAGAGAGAGAGAGAGAGGTGAGTTATTTTAAAGGCAGGATTGGAGGCTCAGAAGTAGCAGTTGTTGGGGCTTCAGAATTCATTTTCGCCTCTGCAGGTGGAGACTCTGAGAGGTGACTTCTTACTGGTATAGCCCCAGCCTCACCTGCAGGCTGCCCTTTGCAGAGGGTGACCTGAGGAGCTCTGGAAGCGCTCCATAGTCACCAGATCTCTGACTCACTTGTCATGTGGCCTATTTTAAAATGTTACCCGTTTGTGTTAATCTTCTCATTTGTAAATGTCCACACAGCCCCGGGAAGGATTACTAGTTCAGCTCTGGCTGATGAGGTGGCTGAAGAGCCCTCACTGAGGGGTGTCATTCTAGACTCAGCTCTAAATCTAAATTATTGAGTGACCTTGAGCTCCTCTGCTTATCTCTTCTCTGAGTTTTGTCATCTTCAGGAATATCTTTCACCTCATCTTGTGGGAACATAGGTTAGTTGGGATGAGAAGGGCTCATACTACTGAAAAAACAAACAAACAAAAAACCCCCAAAACCCCAACAATTTTTTTTCCCCTCAAAATTCAGTCAGCTAGCCCTCCCTTTGTTGAACTGGGATCTGAGGACAGGCTCTGAGGATACTGCTGGGTCCAGGTGGTCTTGGTTCCTGAGGTGCCTGGGCTTACCTATCCCCGGGTGTGACCTGTGTGGAGCTGGCCCCTCTATAGACAGACTGGCATTTAATTGTGGGCACAGGAGGGGCTAGGGAAAGTGCTGTGCAGGGAGGGGAACTGGAGACTTGTCTCAGTGCTTTATTTAGGTGGTGAGCAGCTGTTCTTTTTGGGGGTGGTTGGAGATGTTGATGGAGATTGTAGGAGACTAAAGCTCCTCTTCCCCAACTCCTTACACAGCTTAGCACCTGGAATGAGTCCAAGCCTGTGTCAGGGAAGGAGGCGTCCTAGCACCAGCTCCCTTTGACTGCTGGAGATGGGGCACCCTGCCCTGCCTCTCTGTAGGTACTTAAACTCCTTAATATCTACTGATCTGAAAAAGGCAATCTGGGGCCTCCAAACGACTGGGGGTCCATTATCTCCCCAGATGCGGGTGCTGCCCTCCTGCCTTCTTATGCTTCTGCTGAGACCAGCCCCCATTTATGATTTTTCTTTTAAAAAAATATTTTTATTGATTTCAGAGAATAAGGGAGAGGAAGAGAGAGATAGAAACATCAATGATGAGGGAGAATCATCAATTGGCTGCATGCCCCCAATGGTGATTGAGCCCACAACTCGGGCATGTACCTTGACTGGAATTGAACTGTAATCTAGTTCATGGGTCAATGCTCAACCACTGAGCCACACGGGCTGGGCCCTATGATTTTTCTTTAACAGCAAGAACACAACCTTGTTGAGCACTGCAGTGAGCCCAGCACTGGGAACACAGCAGAGAACAGATGGCAGGTCCCTCCCTCATGGGATCTTCCACTGTGCGTGAGTGTGTGTGTGTGTGTGTGTTTATGCACGCACATGTGAGAATCTAACAATAAATTGATTTACCAGGGGTTATTCCTATACTGGAACCAGCCTCCCCAAAATAGCTTTCAGAACCACAGGATGTTAGAACAGCCCAGCTCCCACCTTGAGCATTTGGGGAAACTAGACCTCAGTTTGAAGTTGAAACCTGGTGAAGGGATTTGTCTAGTGTCACAGCAGAAACCCTGGGCTGAGCCAGACTTGAAATCTGGCCTGCTGACTCCTGGCTTGGTTCCCCCTGCCCTGATTCCCTGCTCTGGCTGCAGGAAGAGCCCTCAGGTGTTGCTGCTCCTCCACGGCGGCTAGGTGGCACCAGAACGCCTTTGAACAATAGGCTGCTGAAAATGCTCGAATCCTTGCAGGAGTCCTGAAGTTTGACTGGGCGGTTCTTGTGCCCTCTAATACCTACCTTGGGCATTACCCCAGCTCATGGTCCTCCCTTTCTGGATCCCACCCCTCCATCCTCCTTTGGTTCTCTGGTTACCTGGGGGAATTCACTTCCATGGGATTGATTTCTCCTCGGGCTCTGTGTGCAGAATGGAAAGTTCTGGCTGGGTGATCAGCTCACGGGAGATAGTGGCATTCCAGTTCTCCTGAGGCTGCTTTCTTCCTTACTTTCTGAAACTTTTGTCTGCGTGAACAACCCAGCTGAACAGTATGGGCTAGGTCACCGTGCCAGCCTGTGACAGAGTTGGGATGGAGTTCAGGCTAGCTAAGCACTGTGCTTACCTTGTCTCTCAAAGGAATGTCGAGAAGACAAGCCCCTCTGGTGTCTGGCCCCTGTCTCACCTTTGTGTAGCTCATTGGCTAAGAGTATAGGCTCTGGTTTCAGACTTCTGGGGTTAGAATGCTGCCTCCCCACTTGTTAATGGTGTGACTGTGCCAAATTCATGTAATCTCTCTCTGCCTCAGTTTCTCCTTCTGTAAATGGGATGTGGTAGATTATAAATGGCCTCAAATTTCTTTGTAACTCCTCCCACTAAAGGTGGGGTATATTTTCCCACCCCTCTGTAACTGGGCTGGCCTTGCGGCTTGTTTTGAGAGAGTGTGGTGGAAAAGATGATGTGTGAGTTCTGAGCCTCAGTGCCAAGAAACTTTGCAGCTTCTGTTCTTACTCCCAGAACATTGCTGCCATGTGACAAGGCTGGCTGATGTCTTTGAGGATGGAGACCATGTGGAGGGAGGTCCCAACCCAAATTGCCCAGGTACAGCATCGTGAGCACATGAGCAATTGTGTTAATCTATTAAATCTTGGGAGTGGTTCATTATGTCACCAACGCTAAATGAAATAGGGGAGAATAATGGTACTGACTTGCCGGGTGGCTGTGAGGTTCTGTGGTGATGTGTGCTTAGATCGGCGCCTAGCCCACAGTAATCTCATGCAGCTGTGATTACTAACATTGTTATGGGGCATTTCCTCCTGCTCACTGGATTCTAGTCACACTGACCTCTTTTCTCTCTTAACTTTTTGAATCCAGCAAACTGTGTTCCTTTTTCAGGGCTTTCAGACTTAATTCTCTCATGGTTAAGGTGGCAGCTGGAACCTCTCCTTCTTGGAGCAGCCTTCTCTGATTGCCATAGGAACTATCTCCTCTCCTCCTCCCTGTCGCCCCTTCTACACTGTAAATCCCTGGAGGTCAGGAGCTGAACCTCTCTTTGTCCCCTCTTTTATGCTTGCTGCCTGCCACAATGCTGTGGAAGGCAGGCGCTGTGTGACATCTGCTGAATGAGTGAATGAGAAAGGGCGCCTAAGCAACCTGGGTTTGAGGTTGGCGCAGGCTTCCAGGAGAGGGGAGTAGCTAGGGTAGAGTTTCAGAGAGAGAGGGGACAGTGTGTGCTGCTTCTAATGCTTGGACCCGGTTTGGTTTGTGTCACACTCTTACATTGGATCAAATATGTTTTGACACTCTATGCCCAACAAGGCTATGAGCTTCTTTAAGTCAGGGATGAGTTCCTTGCAGCTCCCAGCACATCACAGGCATCTAGCAGGGGCTTAATAGAAGTTTATTGGGTAGATAAGTGAATGGATGGGTGGATAAATGACTGAACAGTGAGTGAATGCAAAGAAGGATGGATGGATGAGAGAGGACTCAGAACTGCAAGCAATTCTGAAAAATCGTGTTTATTTTTTTTTCTGCTAATAAAGGACAGCACATTTCCAGTCAATTAGTAAAAGGTCATAAAAGTATAAAAATGTATTAAGTACAATCATTAGGATTATGTCATAGGGAAATAGTTGTTATAACTTTCCCCCTAAGGTGGCATGTTGGATAGTCACAGTTGATTTGGTTTACAAAGAAGGGCAGGAGTAGGTGACCAGTTGACCCAGGACTGAGTAGTTTCCCAGGATGTGGGGTTTTCAGTGCTAAAACTGGGAAAATCCCAGGCTAACTGGGCTGGTTGGTCATGCAAGAAAGAGAACAGCATCACAGTGATGGGTATGGTTTGGCATTTAGGGGTCAAGATCAGACATTTCCTCAATTTCTCCATCACCTCTTTTCCTTTAAGCTCTGAAATAAATATCCCTGTGTTATTATTGACGGTGTTAACAGCTTTCAAAGGGTTTTCTCTCCCTCACCTCCTATGTATGTAACTTCGACTTGTTCCTATGCCAAGCCTGGGAGGTAGGGCAGTTCTACCCTAATTTGTAGGTGTGGCATCCTGCTTCAAGGTTCCTGGCTCTAGAAAACAAAGATCTATGCCTCAGATCTCCTGAGGCTAGTGGTCTTCCCACGGCTTTGTTCTTTTCGGAAGCATCCTTTCTCATCTGGCTTTCAGGACTGGGCAGGAATCATACAGAGAAAGGGACCCTGAAATCTGAGTTTTGGCTTAGTCCTCTTATTTGGGACAAAGTCATTACTTCTTTGCCTGCTGTGTTCCCCCTTTAGCAATCCTCTTGTAGAATTCCCCTGAATACCTACCAGCTGACCAGTGCCCGTGTCATTATGTGACAGAGTCAGTGAATGAGACCTAGTATTTTGGCTCCAGGAAGGTGCTCCAAATGGCTTCTCCAGTTCAGGTTTGTCAGTAGGGTGGTCAGAGGACCAGCTCAGTCTGCCATTTGCCAACTTGAGATCTTTTGGGGGCTTTGTTGCTGAAGTTACTCAAATGAGGTGGCTATGACTCCTAGGCTCAAAGACTTGTTGCATTCATTCCTAACCTATAAGGATTTTGCTTAATATATAGGTACTGCCTATATATATTAAAATAAGATATAAGGCTTAGTAGCCCTCCCTGACTTATCTTAAAAGACTAGGGATAGGCTATCCTTGCCCATAGTAAACATAGCTTCTCCTGACAGCCTATTAGAATTCTATCATCCATTCTTTTATTTCAACAGTGTTTTTGAGCTCTTATATTTTTGGTATTTACTATCTCTAGGGGTAAGAAGCCTATGTAAACTTTCTTTTCCCTGTGAAGTGAGACTTCCTATCACTCTCCCTTTAATGGAAGCATGTGCCAGTATCCTCCAGGCAGCACTCCTCTCTGGGTTACGCTTAATGAACAGGACTTAACATTGGCCCTACCCTTGAACATGTCATTGTTTGGGCTCAGAGTTGCTTGCATCATATGGGTCTATTCTGTGGGCAGGTTTGCTAAGATCTATTCATCTTAGAGTTTTCCTGTTCTGAGAGCTGACTGAGAGTGGGTCCTTTAATATAAAAACAAATAAAATAAATAGCTTTTTAAAAAAGTAGGTTCCCCAGGCTGTGGGACATGTGGTCTGTCAGCTAAAGCATGGGGCTTCTGGTCTACCCATTTCTCTTAGAATGCTTCTGTTCTTCCTGCCTCTTACACCAGCTGTGGCCCCACAACCCTCTGAAGTATCAGTGGCACTGAGTTCAAGTCTAGTTTTAATATTTAGATGTAGTTTTATTTGACTTAGAGACAAACAGCATCCTTCCTCTTTGTGAGCGAAAGGGATGTTAACCCCCACATGGCCATCTCTGCAATACCATCAAGATGAAACACCTACATGTCTGGGTCTCTTCTGAAATTTAAACTCTGGCACCCATGCGGTGAAGTGATGGTGTGGCAAGACCAGAAACTTCCACAGCCTGAGGGATTGTCTGGGTTTATACATTTCTTGGAATCTTGGAAACGTATGTATTGGGTTGTAGGCTGTGCTTATCTAGAGGATCAGAAGAATGTCTCTGAGGACTTGATGCCATAGAAACATAGCCTCTTTATGAAACTCTGCAAGATATGCTGCCTGGCAGCAGGAGAAAACTGGAGGTTGAGTGGTTTCCAGCCTTTTTTGGTCAACGCCCTTAGGGCCAGTACTTCATCTAAGGAAGTCAAGCCTGGCGGGGAGAAGAGAGTAAGACTGGCTCATTCTTTCCTCCATGGAGAAGGAGAGTCTTGGGTTAATTAGGCCGGCGATTGGGCGGCCTCCCCCAAGTTTGTACAGATTTCTGCAGGCCCCTCAGATGGTCAGTGAACTCTGGGATCGGCGATGGCTGCCCCTGCTCGAGCGCTGGTATTCATCAGTCTGCTCGCTGGGGTAGGCCCCGGAAGCCATCCTGCTATTGGGCCCCAGAAGGAGGTGATCTTTGGATGAGAGTTTAGCTGAGGAGTCTGCTGAGCTTGGGTTGTCCCTCCTGTGGTCTCTGCTGCTTCTCTCTCCATGTACCCCCTGGTTCTCTGTGCACTTCTGCTTGGGTAGGCGGGAGCTCTTTGGGGTGCTGGCTCTGAAGTCCTGTTCAGGGACAGGTGGCATTGGACGGTGGGTACGCTGAGCCTCTCCAGGGACCGGCATTTGTCTGCTTCTCCAACTCTGGATTTTCAGGTCTCTTTTGTCCTTGGGGAGTTTGTCAATTTTCTGAGCTTTTGCGATCAGGGACTCCCCATATGTCCCTTGTAGAGATAAGAAAAAGTACCTGGTGGGGAAGGAGAAACAACAATAAATCTTTTTTCTGATTTTTGTTGACGTCTTGAACTTCAGCATTGAAAGGGACCTTCGAATCCGACGCCCCACCCATGGCAAGATCCTTTTCACTGTGCTCCTGGCTGTGGTTATTAAATCTATGCTTGGGCACCTCTGGGATTTGGAAGTTCAATAACAATATGTAATAACTAACATTTATCATGAACCAGAACGTTTCTAAATGCTTTAGTATTATTAACTCATCTTTCCCAACAATCCCATGTGGCTGGTACTTTTGCTTCCCCCATGTTACACACGAGGAAACTGAGGCAGTGACTTGTCCAGAGCCACACAGTGGTCTTGCTGTGGTCAGAACCAAGCACTCTGGATCCCTATAGTTTTCTCTTATCTACCATGTAAAGGGCAGCCCTTTCTCTTTCTGGGCTATTCTGATTTAGGCAAATTTACTTGCTTTGCAATATCAACCCTTTGTGGAACTTAAGTAGTTTCTAAGTACATATTCTCTTGAATCTGTGGGCCATACTAATTTCCCAGCATTGCTGTATTTGCACCATTTTCCAGATGAAGAAACTGAGGCCCCAAGAGATGAGATAGGGTTTCCAAGGTCACCTGAGCAGTTGCTAGGTTTCCCTGATGGTTAACCCAGGGTTCCTTTCCCCGGCCAAGCTGCGTGGTAGCCTGTACTGGACTCTGGGATTGGAAGTCTCTACCTGTGCCTGGAGTCTTTTCTATTCCACATTTGGGGAAAGAATAAGAAGGTGAATACAATTGTGTGGTCTATGGGGAAAGCATATCCCAGCTTGTGATACTGGGCTCTGGGTATCAAGTTTTTTATCTAAAAAGTAGACATCCAGAATCTTTCCTCCAAATAATCCTTTTTAAAATGTTTATTTCTAAAGCCTTAAAAGCAGAGACTCCCATCCTTCCACTGTGTCTGAAAGCTTTAGGCAGCCTCACAGTGCACAGGGGTTTCTGAAGACGCCCATGGCATCAGGTAAATTTTGCCCTATTCTTTCTCATCTCGCCCAGAAAGGCAGTACAGGTGGGCATGTTTATTTCAGGAAAGACTCAACCTCCTGCCTAAAAGCTGGAATTTGCTCAGTTTAAACCTTTCCACCAAGATGCTACTTTCCTTCTCCATCCATTTATTCAACAGATACTTAACAAGTTTCTACACTGGGCCACTCCCCCGAGAGATTAACCTGAGAACAGGATAGACAGGTTCTTGCTTTCCTATGGCACCTGAACAGAGTTATAAGCAGAAGGAGCAGTGAGAGTGTCGGACACCTGATCTGGTATGAGACACCTTCCTTGAGGAAGAGACATGCAGAGGAGGTGAGAACCAAATCCATGCACAATGGCTGAAATGTAGAGAGCGGACAAGAGGGAAAATGACACAGAGGGGTTGGCAGGGCCAGAGCAGGCAAGGACGGAGAGCTGTGTTTTGTTTTTTTGTGCTTTATTGTAAAAGCCTTGGGAAGCCCTGGTAGGGTAATAAGCATATGACATGATTACACTTTGACTCAGTGATAGTGGATTAGAGTGAAATCTATTAAGATACTTTTGCAGTAATTTGGGAAGAAAGGATATAATCTATCCATGGTGGTGGCTGTAGATATGAAAATAGCAGATGGATTTGAGAAAGATAGAGCATATAGAATTGTCAGGTTTTGGTAATGAGCTAGATGTGGGCATGAGGTGGTGGGTGGTATCAAGGATAACTTGCAGGGGTCTGCCTTGGTCCTAATTGGATAGCATTTGATAGAAGAAACTCTGGAAGAGACCCAGGTATCTTAGATGGTGGTGGTGATAAAGGGAGGATCGTGACTTAAATTATAGATGTCTCCCAATTTCTTTGAACTTAGATGCCTCGTGGAAGTGGTGAATAGGTAGCTAGAAAGATGTATCTGGAATTCAGAAGAGAGGTCTGGGTTGGGAATTTGGAGATTCATATGTTCAAAATATCTATCTTCACAATAGTGGTTGCTATGTCTACGGAGAGACTACAAAGTTAGAAGACAAAAGAGCCTAAGACCAAGGCTTGACCTACACCATGTCAAGGACATGCAGTAGGAGAAAAACTGACAGTGTCCAAAAATTGGTATCCTCTATTTAAGGTGCTAATTAAAGTGCTCATTATGTTTTAAGGTTTGTGTGTGCTAGCTTCTTTTGTTTTTATCTGCAAAACAATGTACATGTTCTTGGCTTTAAGAGACTCTGTACAGTTCTTTTGTACTGGTTGAATTAATTAGACCAAGATTAGTGAGGTCATGGTTAGGGGACTAATTATCACAAGGTTGGTGAGTGAAATCTACCTCCATTATGATAAATACAGCTTATAACCTTAAGTGAACAAATAGTTCTCTGCAGCAGACATTCTATCATGTAGATTTCTATAACAAACATTAATTTTTTCAAGGTTACAAGCCAACAGTCCTTGGAACTATTACAATAATCCTTTCTCAGAAGAAACCTCTTTGCTTTTCTTAGTAAACAGAATTAAACAGAAATTCAACCTTATGATGATAATGTAGAATAAGCAAAAAGATTTAACTTATGTGCTATGGTAACTAACAAGTAAATATTTGCTAAGTTGTTTCTGTTTAACAAGCTGTACTGTTCAGCGCCATCTATTCAAAGCATGTGTCAACAATCTTTTATTCTTTTCAAGGATTCTCATCAGGCTGGTAGCTTTTGGCTCCAAGTGTGTTTTCTAGCCAAGGGTACGACCAAGAATACGGGGCTGAGAAATTTCTATTTCTACACCCCCAAAAAGACACAGAACAGAGGAGCTCAGTCCTTGGTCAGTAGTGATCACAACCGTGCTTAACCCCAAAACTGTGGACAAAAGTATTTAACACACATTCCAATCCTCATGGTCTCTCCCAGGGTCCATCTCTCAAGGGGTTGGGCTGCAGAAGGGCTGTGGTGGGAAATATATCCTCTGAGACTTGTGCTTATTCGAAATTTGTAAGGCTGGAGGACAGGAATTATCACTCCCATTTTACAGATGTCACAACTGAGGCCATGCCCGCTTTGGTGACTTGGCTCCGCTGTGGCATTTTTCTCCAAGTTCATTGTTCTTTCTGTCCTAGGACCCTATCTTTGAGACTATAGCTTCAAGGATCCCAACCAGGAGTGAAATTACTGACCCCCGGGCTATGAAAACGGCTCATCGAGGGGAGATTGGTAGTTCTAGGAAGAAAGGGCCCCTGTGCTCAAACCTTGGTAGAAGAGCCGCGACTGGTGTGAGGAGGCAGACGAGGTAGAAAGTGGGGTCTGAGAGCTGGACTTCCATCACCCCATAGGGGTTGGTGGGACTGTTGCAGGTGACGCAGGTGGCGTTGTACACTAGGGATACCACAAAGTACATCAGGAAGCTGCCTACGAGAACCAGCCCGTGGATGATGGTCTGTGGAAGGGAAGAAGTAAACACTGTTGAGAGTATAACTTTGTTTTAAGCTGCTTCTTCTTCTTCTTTTTTTTTTTTTTTGAAAATGCAACACAAAATTTGAACACACATACCCCAAGCACCCCTCAATCTTCTGTCTCAGCCTTGACTTTGGTGATAATTTCCAAGCTGTCTTAGGATGTTTTACCACCTTTCTCTGTTTCTCTATGCAGACTGTTTTTTTGAAATGTTAGTAAATAGAATCATGTCTGGTGTGATGAATCCATCTTTTCCACATGTGGCTGTAGTTTGTTTTCAGAGTTCAGTGATGTTGTCTAATCTTGTTTTGTCCTGCCTGTCTCGTGCTGCTTTCTTTCCCTATTTGTATCCTTTTTTAAAACATATTGACTATTTTGCATAACTTTATTGCCACCCTTTACTAGTTTGAAAGTTATGTACTCCATTTCTATTCTTTCAGTGATGACTCTATAAATGATAATAAGCAATCTTAACTTACCGCAGTCTAAAGTTTAGAACTGCTTTCTCTCTTCCTGAATTATACAAGGGCTTTAGAGCACTTTACTTTAACCTCTTTTCCAATGTATCTTATTGCTACTGCATATTTTAACTGTCTCATCTTTTTATTGATTTCAGAGAGGAAGGGAGAGGGAGAGAGATAGAAACATCAATGATGAGAGAATCAGATTGGTTGCCTCCTGCACGCCCCCTACTGGGGATGAAGCCCGCAACCCCGGCATATGCCCTTGATGGGAATCAAACCCACCACCCTGCAGTCTGCAGGCCGATGCTCTATCCACTGAGCCAAGCCGGCTAGGACTGTCTCATCTTTTTAAAGCACACATGTCATTATAGTGTAATATGGTCAATATTCAGGTTTAGTTATGTTCCCCACTTTTTATGTCTTAATTCCTTCTCATGGAACTCCCATGAGAGATTTCTTTCCTCTTTAAGTGCAGCCTTTAGTGGGAGTGAGCTGGTGATCTATTTCTCTTAGTCTTTATTTCATTCTCATTTTTGATGGATATAGCATTCTTGTTGGAAGTTATTTTCTTTTTTTTTTTTTAAATTCTTTATTAGTTAAGGTATTACAAATGTGTCCTCATCCCCACCATTAAATCCCCATCCTCCCCACCACCCTACTCATGCTCTCATCCCCGTTGTCCATGTCCATTGGTTTGGCTTATATGCATGCATACAAGTCCTTTGGTTGATCTCTTCCCCTTGCCCCCCTCCGTCCCCTACTTTCCCTCTGGGGATTAATAGTCTGATTGTTGTTTCTCTGTCTTTGGATCTGTCCCTGTTCATCAGTCTATGTTGTTCTCTATATTGGAAGTTATTTTCATTCGGCATATCTGAGGTAACATTCCACCGTCTTCTGGCTTCCATTTTTTGCTACTGAGAAGTTAACAACTCTTCACCTGTTGTTCCTTAGAAGGAAATCTGTCACTTCAAACCTGGCCTGCTTTTATCATTTTTATTTTGTCTTTAGTTACCTTATGATATAATAAGTGTGAATTTCTTTTTATCTTGTTTGGGTTTTGCTGACTTTCTTGAAACTCTGGATTGATGTATTTCATCACTTCTATAAAAATTTCAAGTTACTAAGAATTTGACCAAATGGATATTAGACCTTTTAAGATACCACCCTATCTTCTATATATTTAATACCTCTTCCATAATTTTCTTTTCCCCCATTCTGTTTTATATTCTGGATAATTTCTTTTGTCCACTAATTCTCCCCTTTAGCTGTATCTAATTTGCTGTTAAGCCAGCCATGAAAATAAATTGCATTTGTTGTATTTTTTTTTTTATTTCTAAATGTTTTATTAGGTCTATTTTCCAGTCTGCTGGGTTGCTTTATATAGTTTACCAATCTGTAGATATTTTTAAAGCTTAGTCTTTATTTATTTAAATATAGTAAACATAGCTTTTCTATAATTTATATCCGATAATACCATCTCCTGAAATATTGGTTTCTGACTTTTTTTTTTATATCCTCACTAATGAGTTCTTGTTTCCTTAGAGCTTGGTTATTTTTGAATACGTGGTGCTTATTGCCCTGGAAAAGTTAGTAGGGACAATTTGAGACTTAGTTTGAGATACTTTTCTCTCGAGTTTGGCTCACCAGGTGATACGAGCCTGGGCTGCAAATCTGTCCGAGGCAGCTGTGTTAGTTTCCTATGACAGGTCCTTTATCAACGTCCAGCTTTATCAATTTAACCTTATGTAATGTTTGTCTCAGATTTTTGTGGAAAGGTTACAGCTTACAGATATAATCAAAGCATCCATATATCCCCTGTAAATGCTTTGTTTAATCTTGAACATAAATTCAGTGTTCATCATTCCAATGCGTATTTTATTCATACATGTTTGTGCAGCCATGGTTATGGTTGCTCTATTACTTTATCAGGTATGGATATCCTTCTGTACCTTTTAAAACTACACACTATGCTTTGGAGTTTTACTACATTGATAGATACAGCTCTAGTTTATTCATTTTAACTGTTCTATTGTATAAATATGCCACAATTTGGCATATTTTCCAGTTGATGAACATTTAGGCTCTTTGCTTTTTTTTTTTGCTATTAAGAACAATGGTGTAATTCTTATATACGTCTCTGTATACACAGATGCAAGATTATTTCCAGGGTGCACACTTAGAACCGTGTCATAGTATATGAACATTAACTCCTGGCTATTTTCAGATTGTTCTCCAGAGTGCTGGTATCAGTTTATGATCTACTAAGAGGATATGAAAGTTCCTTGGTTGGCCTTTATTGCTTCTAACAAACTGCTGAGTTGCTTTGCCAGGAATTTATTTAGAATTTTTACATCTATGTTCATTTAGTGAGACTGGTCTATAATTTTCTTTCCTCGATCTGTCCATGCTGATTTTGGTGTCATGCTAGCCATTAAAAAATGCCGATTTTTTTCTAATCTGTGAAATAATTGGTATAAGGTAGAGATTATCTGTCCCGTATAAGTTTGATCACAGGATTATAAATTCAGTTTCTTTAATGGTGATTGGTTTACTCAGGTTTGCTGAATGATTTTGACTATGTTTTGGTCAATTTTACATTTAAAAATATGTTTAAAAATTGATCATATCTACAATTACAGCCCTTTTTATTCTGAGTATCATTTCTGTGGTCTTTTGTGTCTTCTCCTAAATGGGTTTTGCTAGAGATTACATTTTCGAGGAGCTCAATTTCGGTTTTATTGATTCTATTGTTTCCTTGATTTTTACCTTTGTTTTAAATAATAAAACTTTAGGTACTCTCACAAATTTGTATATATTTTTATAGTCATTTAGTAACAAGTATGTTATAATTTCCCTCATGAGTTATTTAGAAATGCATTTTAAATTTCCAAGCACATTGAGTTTGGCTATTTTTTATTGCTTATGATACTGTTTCTCTCAAATTCCTTTGTGATTCAGAATTTGGTCTTTTAAATTTTTGGTAAATGGTCTATGTGTTTAAATAGATGCATGTTTGGAGCATGATTTTATATATTAGGTCAAGTGTGATAATTCAATGCTTCTATATCCCATTTTTTCCCAAATGATCTAGTCTCTTTATAATGGAATTATATCAAAATTTCATAGTAGCATTGTGAACTTGTCCATTTCTCCTTATATTTTTCTGGATAAAAAAAATCCAGTCTGATAAATTTTGCTTTTAATAGGTAAATTGAATACTGATATATTTGGATTTATTTTGAATACATATGTAATACTTTCAACACTAAAGATTAAAAAAAAAACACTTAACACATACATGTATTTATCCATCACTGTGATATATGTACGCCAAGTCATCACGCTGTACACTTAAACTTACACAATGCTGTAAGTCAATTAAGTCTCAAAACAAAACCTACTGAACACAAAGGACTCTGGGAAGTTAAATGAGATACTACATTAAAAAATTGTGTAGATAGGCATATAATTTTAAGAAGAACTTAATGAAAAAGCTGGCAGTGCCCTTTTAGATACTAAAGTGTGATAGTTGGGCTTGAAATGTAGTTACGTAGAGGCAGTTTTCGGCAGTTTTCTAATCTTTTATCCTGAAATTAAATGGGGAGTATATCCCCTTAACAGCATGGTTCTCCTTGTCTCTGAAAACACCCCTCAATTTTTTTATTAATATCTTTTTTTGCAACTAATTGTTTCATTGTTTTATATATGTTAGTTTTATCATCCTGGCTAGATGATAAGCAAGTTGAGGCCAGGAATTTTGTTCTTCTACACCTCTTCCATCCTTGCACAGGACAGACACAGGTAAAAGCTCAATATGTATTATTAATCGAGTAGGTCAGTGACATAAAGTACAACTCAGAAATCTGAATGTGGTCAATAGTCAGGAACACAAATTTTAAGCCAAACAAGCACTTACCCAGGTCTTCATTTCCATTGCCTGGTGCAAGAGGATTGTGGCGAGGGAGATGGTGTTGATGGGTGTCCCAAAGGTGAAGACATCAATGTCAGAGTCCTTGTAGGTCTGCAGAGGAGGAACAAATAGGTACCCTCAGATGTGCCTGTGGGCTCAAGGCCTTGGCTTTTTTTTTTTTTTTAAATAATTCTTTATTGTTGAAAGTATTACATATGTCCCCTTCCCCCTTCCCTGCCTTCAGCTGAGACCGTAAGGAGGAGTTAATCTCTTGAGGAGAGGGGAGGGAAGGCAGTCCAGCCAAAGGCCAGAACTGAGGGTGGATGTGGTGGGCTGTGGAATGTCAAATAGTTCTAGATGGTGGGTGTGTTGAGCTCAAAATAGTAGCAAATGATTCAGCAGGAAAGACTAGCAGAGGTCTGACCAGGGAGGGTATTGTAAGCTAGGAAATGAAAAGAAAGCATAAAATGCCTGCTTTATCGACCCTCGTGTTGATAACTGCAAAAGGATATGAGCCCCGAGGCTGTGTAGACACTACCATACCTGATAGCAGTTAACCCACATTATGGTTCCCTGTCCAGGAGAAATAGATACCCTTTACTATCTAAATTCTCACTCTCCACTGAGGAACCAGATTGAGGTGGGGCTGGTATCCTTGCTGTATGTATTCCTGCTTTTATTTCAGGTAATGTAGTATTCTTCATTATCAGAACTTGCTGCCTGAATGCTTGAAGCACAAATCTAAATGAAGGGTTGTAAATACAGATACGTTTAGTGCTCAAATAAGCAACAGTAAATGAGTGAAGAAGGCTTGGGATAAGACAAAAGGGAGTGGTGGGGACTATGGCAAACGAGAATATGGGCCCCATCTAAGCAGGACTATGAGTTAATTTTGGACTTGTGTCATGAGGGAAAAATGATCCCATGTAATGATAGCTTTCAGTTTTCCAAAACCTGGCAGAAAGTAAAATGTTTGGGCAAAGCTTTCTGACTTGTCAAACACCCTAGGTTGGAGGTAGTCGCAGGCTACCTGTTTTGAGCCTCTGCTCTGAAGTGTCTAGAAAGACATTACTAGTCTAGGATTTCCTATAAACAGGACCAGTGTCACCCTGTGATTTGTATGGTTAGAATGGAATGATTGATATGACTTACCAGGTAAGGGATAAAGAAACAGATGAGGCTCTGGTAGAAAGCATCCATCATGGAAACCCAGAAAGTCATCAGGTTATAGCACTGCCAAGAAAGAATACACGAGCAGTTACCACCACCAGAATGGCTCTCATCAGTGAACCCACAAACAACGAGCTGTGGTGAGCACGTGGAGAAAAGGGAGCCCCCAGACACTGTTGTTGGGAATGCACATTGGTGCAGCCACTGTGGGAAAGAGTATGGAGGTTCCTCACAACATTAAAAATGGAACTGCCACGTGATCTAGAAATTCCACTTCTGGATATGATTTGAAGAAAACAAAACATTAATTTGAAAAGAAATATGTACCCCTATGTTGATTGTATATACCTGTACAGGGTATCCCAAAACAGGTATACATTCTTTTAACAGCTGATAGCTCAATTGATATTTCTTTCTTTTCAGATTTAACCCATTGCAATTAATAATGGCAGCCAAAGGGTATATATTTTTGGTAAATACATATATTATTAGTATATATATATTAGAGTCTATGCTTTTGCAACATTAACTCTGAATGATAGGTATCTATGGAATACATCATCCCACCAGCGTGCCTGTGGGGAGGGGGCTGGTGGAGGGCCTAGGATGCACCCGCGCCATCGCATGTCCCCCTCGCCTGCGGTGCGGGGCTGCTGTGCTCTCCTGCCTTCGGGTTAGGACTGCACTTGCCTCTTTGCTGGCTGTCCACAATGTATCACCAGCCCTCAGGCACCCACCTGGCTGTGCGCTCCTCCCTCCCAGGTGCCAAGGATCCTTTTCCCAGAGCTCCTCCTGCATCCCACCTCCTGACCACCCGTCTGACTTCTCCAAATCAGTCAGGTGCCACTGTGGCCGCTCTGTGTCCTTTAAGAAACCATTCTGTTGGCGCCCCAGGCCTTCTTCAGTCTACTTCATACCAGCAAGTTCTAGGCCACCTGTAGTTGTAGCTTCGCCTTTCCTGACCTGTGGTGGAAGCCCTCGCCTCACCCGTGGATGAGTTAACTGCTTTTTACTCCCAGGGGTTCTGTGGAAGGCCTGGAGAGGGGGGCTGGCTCAGGGGGATCTTTCTGCATGCCCTCTCCCTCTTCAACTCGGGCAGTCCCATAATGGGTGATATAATTAAGAAATATCTAAAAGAAACATACTCACTGGTCTGGTTCGTCAAGTCATCCTCACAGCAAATGCTTGGCCACGTGGGAGGTGAGGGGCAGAGTGGTGACTGAATGCGGGGCTCCTGACCCCCAGCCCCGTGGTCATGCCCTGACACCTCCAGGGAGAAGCCGAGCCCCTTACCTCGGAGTCCTGGCCGCTCCTGTACAGCTCGGGCAGCGCCAGGAGTGTCTCCGCAGAGATGTCTTTATCGAGGATCCCAAAGACAAGAGGAGGCAGTGAGGTGAAGAAGAGATTGAAGAAGATCATCTGCCAGTAGTCGATCATGGTGGAGCCCGAGAAACCACAGAAGAACTGGTACCAGAAGAGCAGGTTGACGTAGCACTGCAGGTGGACAACGTGGGTTGGGTAAGGACTGGAGATACTCAAATCCTTAGAGCAGGGGCTCCTGACCCTATTATCACTACCTACTGCTGCTAACTACTACTCCTGCTAACTACAGTAATGTCTTCAGAACCTTGTTAAGGTAAGTGTAGTTTGATGGTTAAGAACACAGGTTTTGGAGGCAGAGAGGGTTTTGAATCCCTAGTTCTGTCACTTATGAGCTGTGTGACCTTGGGCAAGTTGCTCAACCTTTCTGAACATGACCTTGCGACCTTTCAGATAGGGGTAGTAGTAGTACCTACACCAGCCGTGGGCAAACTACGGCCCGCGGGCCGGATCCGGCCCATTTGAAATGAATAAAACTAAAAAAAAAAAAGACCGTACCCTTTTATGTAATGATGTTTACTTTGAATTTATATTAGTTCACACAAACACTCCATCCATGCTTTTGTTCTGGCCCTCTGGTCCAGTTTAAGAACCCATTGTGGCCCTCGAGTCAAAAAGTTTGCCCACCCCTGACCTAGACTACGGTACCTGGCCTGAGAGGCAGCAGTTAGTAGTAGTAGGGTGGAAAGAGAAAGGGATGGCCCTGAGGCAGGCATGATGGAAAGACTGGACTGTGGGCAGGAAGCCTGGCAGGAAGAGGGTTTCATGAGAAGGTTCCTCTCTCACACTGTGCTAATGGTCACGCAGCTGAGAAGGGTGAAAGAGGAAATCTGCTTAACTGTTGCTTTCTGCTTTCTGAAGCTCTCTCACTCCAGTCCTCCCACCTGGGCTGGGCTCTTACTGCTTGAGAATAGCGATCCAGGTTGTGACGTGGTTTGGTGACCTGAGCAAGGTCATGTAAGTAAGCAGTTAGCCCTGGAGTTAGGACTGGACCTTCTCTGCTGTGTGTGGCTGAGGCCCCGAGGGGCAAAGAGTATTGTGAGAAATCACTCAGCAGGTTGGAATTCTCATTCCCTAACTGCCATGCCAGGGTTATTTTGAAGAGTCTGGCTATGTATTATTATTATAATAATATAAACATGTTAATACTATAGACACATTAATACTATTAGTAATACCATTAATTGTTATTTGACCTTCTATTTGTGTGACATAGCATATGAGTACATTGTACATTATTAGATGTGATATACATTATAATTTGTCCCATCAACTTGGCAAGATTAATATTATTGCTAATATAATTCTATCATATTTATGCATTATTATATTAATACTAGAGGCCCAGTGCACGAAATTCGTGCCTGGGGGGTGGGTGTGTGTCCCTCAGCCCAGACTGCACCCTCTCCAATCTGGGACATCGCTCTCACAATCTGGGACTGCTGGCTCCCAACAGCTCGCCTGCCTGCCTGCCTGATTGCCCCTAACTGTTTCTGCCTGCCAGCCTGGTTGCCCCCAACTGTCCTCCCCTGCAGGCCTGGGTCCCCCCTAACTGTCCTCCCTTGCAGGCCTGATCGCCCCCAACTGCCCTCCCCTGCTGGCCATCTTGTGGTGGCCATCTTTGACCACATGGGGGCGGCCATCTTGTGTGTTGGAGTGATGGTCAATTTGCATATTACCTCTTTATTATATAGGATGTTAATAATACTCCTAGCCCAACTCTATAGATGAAGAATCAGAGGCTCTAAGATAATCAGTTACCCCTTGCCCAAGTTCAGAGCTAGAAAGTGCTACAACCAGCATGTGAGTTTTCAAAATTCTTTCTCATCAACCACCCTCAAGCCTTCTCAGTCCACTTTTGGGTTATTCTTCCTGGTTTCCACCTGACCCTACATTCACTCTCAACAGGGAGTTCACAGAGGTCAGGACACTAAATAAAATATCTACTGACAAACATGTTTAGAGTAGGGGGTCATCTGGGTTTTGATCTTGCCCGACTCCAGCAGGCTGTGTGAATGTGGGAGAGTCACTAAACCTCTCTGAGCCTTGGCTTCCTTGTCTCCTAGAGATATGCCCATAGCACCCTGACCTTCCTCCAGGCAGATATTTTTAAAATTAACTTTCTTTCCCCTATACTAGTTCTTATCCATCTTTAAGGTTCGTAGGAATCATATTGGGATTGTATTAAAAATGCAGATTGAGTTAGCAGGCCTGGGGTGGACCTCGAGGATCTGCATTTCTACAAATGTCTAGGTAATGCTAATGCTGCTGGTCCCCAAACAATATCTCGAGAAGCAATGATTACTGAGACCAGGAGATGACAGGCCAATCCAACCACAAATGCCGGGACACAGCCACCTCAATTCATTTGCACAGTGTCTATAACTGCTTTCATGGGACCACAGAGGAGGTGAGCAGTTGTGACAGAGGCTAGATGGTCCACAAAGCTGAAAATATTTATTACATGGCCCTTTGCAGAATTAAGTTTGCTGAGCCCTGATTTAGACTGTAGGCATCTATATCAGGCACTGGGCATAGAGACAGATGTTGTTCCCCACATAGTAGGTGTTCGATAATGATTTGAATAATCATTTGCTTATCTTAGTTGTTCTTTTCTCCTAACACTCATGCTGGAGTTTTAACATTAAAGAGGGTTTTCTTCCTCTGAGGCCCTGGGAGGACCTTGCTTTTCTCCACTTCCTCTGTCGGGAGTCTTGGCACCTTGGAGGGAGTGCATTGAACCTGGTGATGGCGTCGCCAGATTGGGCGCCTGCCTTTCCTCCCAGAAGCCAGGGTGAGGTAATTAATTCATTGTTCGCATTGCAGAGCAGGCCGGGCTTTAATCCCCTCTGAAATTGGTTTCGGATGTGGAACTCATAGTTCTCCACCCTCTAATTGCAAAGGGAGATAATGCGCGTCAGTATCTCCGTTTGTGAGTGAGGCATCGGGCTGGAAATAAATATCATTTAAGTTTTGAAAGCATGGCTGGCTGGCAAGGTTGCCTTTTCTATTTCACAAATTTATGCAGAGAAGAGATTGGGCTCATTCAGAAGAACTATTCCCTTAGAGGCCAAGAGAAAAAAAAAATTAAACAGAGGTATGCTGAATTCTAACTAAACAGTCTTTCATGCACAAAGTGGGTTCAAGTCAACTTGTGACTTTGCATAAACTTGCTGAAATAGTACCATCCAGCTTATCAAATTAACATTTTTTTTTTTTTTTGCCATTCTGTTGATATATTGAATTCTGCACAAAAATGCTCACTCCTGAGAAGGGTAACTGTGAGGGTGCTCACAAACAGGACTGGGGGATGGAGCAGGAGGGGGAAAATGCAATTTTGAGGCAGCTACTTGGCTAATGTTATTCTCTTCCATCCTCTTCTGGTCCCAGTCCTCCCTCTTCCCTTATGCAAACAGGAGTGGAATCTATTTGGACACTCTTGGGGATTGTCAAAGGTCCTTGAACTAGATAATGAAAAACTCAGGCCCTTGCTTTCTCCCTATACCCCTTGTTAATCCAGGGTTTTTCAAACAAGGGCCTCCGACAGTTTTAATACCTCAGCTGGTGTGTGCCTGCTTTGGACCTTTATCAACAAGACAGAAAACATATTTTTTAGGAGAAACAAATTCTTGTATTTGTAAAGTGCTACGTGCATTCCAGAGCTCTGACACTAAAGCTGCTTGATAAGACTCCTAGGGACAGAGAGGGTGATAGTCTTCCTGTTATTGATGAGGAAACCAAGGCTCAGAGAGGTTAAGTGACTCTTCCACATTCACACAGCATGCTGGATCAGGCAAGACTGAAACTCAGATGACCTCCCTAGTCTAAACATTTTTTCCAATAGATATTTTATTTAGTGTCTTGACCTCTGTGAACCCCCTGTTGGGAAGTGACATTTGGGTCGGGTGGAAGTCACGGACTTCATCTTAAACCTTTACCTTGGCTCTTGCATTAGAGTGGCTCTATCTGGGGAGGAAATCTAAGAGAAAAGCCATACTAGTGAACCCAAATCCACAAATAATTCAGCCCACACTAGTTGTTCTTCAGATCCTTCTCTTCCTTGCAGTCAGAAAATAAATTTCTTTTATGGAGCCTGTCTGAGAGTAACAGCAGCAGCAACAATGATGAAAAATAATGGCTAACTCTACTGTGTAATTACTACATGCCAATCATTTTATACACAAGCTCTCGTTTAATCTACTGGGCAAATATATGAGAAAGGTACTTTTATCAGCCCCATTTTACAGATGGAAAAACTAAGGCGTAGGGCCATTGCCAAATACAGGAGCCTAGATTTGAACCAATTATGTCTGACTCCAGAGTCCATGTTTGTAACTACTCATGCTGCCTCCCAGGTACCAGATGCTTTAACCCATATTGTCACAGACAAAACCGAGGCCCAGAGAAGTGCATTGTCTTGCCCAAGGTCACAGAGCTGGTAAGGGACTGTATCAGGATTCAAAATCCAGGTGAGCCTGACTCCTCCCACACCTGCTGAGATGCTTTGTCTAATGTGGGGACAGCTGCTCCCCAGCAAAGACTCCCCAGGCTCAGGTAGGAGGTTGCCGTGGGCCACTCACCACGTTCTTGTAGAAGTAGTACACCACCATCCTGGCCAGCCGGGAGTAGCACCAGTGGCCATGCACCAGCAGCAGCTTCTTGAGGTGTCTGAAGCGGGAGATGGCAAAGTCACTGGACATGACGGCCTACGAGGGCAGAACAGAGACAGCGCATCCATCATTGCTGCCCGTGCACCAAGAGGCTCCCCGCGGGCAGGCCTTTGCTCTAGGTCCATAGCTAGTAGAGTCTGAAAGGCCTTTTGCCCTCATGTGGTGCCCTTGGGTGGCTCTTTCTCACTAGAATCCAAAAAGGGCAGGGCAGAAGGGGCCAGGGGTCTAGTTTGGCCTTTTATCTCCTTCTATTTGTTCAACAAGCGTTTATTATGGCCCAGTGTGTTTCGGGCACCATGCTAGGGATTTGATGGTTACCCAGAGAGTAGGGGCTTCCAGGCAAATAATCCTCAAACCCCTGGCCACCTCCTGAGGCAGGCCATTCGCTCCAAGCTCAGATGGCATGTGTCTTCTGCCCTTGGGGTCACTCAGAATGAGACACAGTTCCTAGAACTCTTAAGACTGTGAGGTTTAGACAAGCTTAGTTATAATTCCTGGCATGAATCTAGGGAGGAAGCATGCAGTCAGAGGAAGGCTTACGCTTCTGAAACTGGGGGTCCTTATGACTGATTAAATTGACCTTTAAATTCTTACTCTAGAAACCTCTCTCTCTCCCCTAGCCTCTCCTCCAGAGATTCAGCAACCCCCAAGGCAGCAGAAGACAGTACCCCAGACCTGACTAACATGGCAGACTAATGATAACATCTTGACCTATTTATGTTTCAGTTCCTGAGCCCTAAGGTGGAGGACCCCTTAACTCCTTTCCCATGAGACAGGACAGAGGGACCGGAAAAGACCTCAGAGCTGTCCTCAAGACCTGAAGAATGGATTCATCACCCCTGCTTCACCTCTGACAACCAGCTCCCAGCTGGACCCCTGAACCATGGTGTCTTGTGATTTTTCCCTGTACAGCCTGTAACCTATATGCTTTTTGGGAATCTGGCTTTCACATTAGCTCCCTGTCCCCGGCCAATTCAGTATTAAACTTCCTATACTGCAAACTCCTGCTGGTGCATATCTTGGGGCCCGTGCATGCAGGCAGATGGACTTAAGGAAAAACATTAGGTTTTGGTGGTAATGCTTCCCTGAATGGTTGGGCACTATTTGGCTTTAGAACATAAGTATCACCAGCTGTTTGTAAAAAGCCAAGCATCCTTTGATCTCCTTTGTGTTCTGAAGGACTGGGCAGGAGGGAGCTGGTGATGGAGGCTTATGACACAGACGCCTCCTGACTTTCAAATGATAATTCTGCAAAATTCTCAGGGAGAAGGTCACCCAACTGCGAAGGATGCCCTAACTCTCCAACAGTGACCAAGGAGAGCAAGGAAGAAACAAGAACAGTTAACGGGAACAGTACCTGCATGCCTTCCTGTCCAGATATTCCAATCCCAATGTCAGCAGCTTGAATCATGCTTACGTCATTTGCTCCGTCACCTGAAAGAAGAGCGGTCATAAAATATCTTTATTCCTGGTCCAACTGCTGTGGGACATAGGAGGGTTTTTATACCAGTAGCTCTGAAGTGTTCCATTTTGTACTTAATTGAATCCTTTTAACATTTCTCTAGTTTTACAGGAAAAGTCAATTGCTATGGTGTTTGGCCTGAGAGATGTCTTTTCTTCTTTGGACAAGAAGCCCTACTTTTTATCATTCAACAAATATTTGTGTCCTTTTTCTAGGCACAGTATTAGCTATTGGGAATACAATGGGGAGTGAGTGGGACTTGAACTGTGCTTATAGTTTACACAAAAGGCCTTCACAAATGTTACAATGGACTTTACTAAAGAGCAAATGGAGAATTTGAGCAACATAGGGACTTGGCAAGAGTGATGCAAGACAAGTGCTAGTGAAGACACTTAGGAAAATTGAGATCTTTCCAATTCCAAAGCTGGCATACCTTCCCGAATTCACTATGACATGAAATACTGGCCATTTTAAGACAACTGGTATGTTTGGACAACTAAGTCATCAGATTGTCAATGGTATTCAAGGACCGGGACAGTGTTTAGTTTTGTTTTTGAATATAGACAAATCAGATTGACTACTTTTTTGGTTGAGGTACATTTAGTCACATTGAGTTCTCATTCAATGAAAATTCAGGAAACTGGAGGTTGTTAGGGCTTGTACTACCAAATAGATTTTTCTGCAATGATGGAAATGTCTTATATCTTTACTGTTCAACATGGAAACCACTAGCCACATGGGACTATTGAAATGTGGCTCATGAAATTCTATTTAATTTTAATTTTAAATGTAAATAGCCACAGATAGCTAGGGGACAACTGTCTTGGACAGCACAGCTCTACACATTGAGTTGTATAGATCATAAGCCTCTTCCTAATGATTTATCTATTACAGGAGAGTTTAGCAAACTTTTTCTGTAAAGGGCCAGATAGTAAATATTTTAGGCTTTGTCAGCCAAGATGCAAAATTGAACAACTGTCCTTACATTTAGAAAAATAAAAACCATTCTCACCATCCCTACAGAAAAGCATGCAGTGGGCTGGATTCATCCTGTGGGCCGTGGTTTGTACACTATATTGCCTTCACCTCCTGACCCTCTTTTCCCAGAAGGTTCTCATAATCTGCAATTAACTCTCTATTAGACATCATAGAAAATATGTCATTGGGGGAGAGAATTTTATTCCCCTAATTATGGGGCAACAAAATGTACTGATCTTAAAAATTTTATGATTATTAGTAGCCATTATTCTTATGATGATTTTTTTTTCCTTGATAGCAGAGCAGCACATAATTTTAATCTTCCCCCATGGCAGAACAAATCACCCTTTCACCTCTTCCCGTAGCAAACCAGTGGGAGTGGAGGTGTATAATCATGCTCTTCCTCACCCTGCTGATGTTGTCTCTGTTGCTATGGGAATGAAGCCAATCTCATACTTCAGGGAATCAGTCTCAGGTGATTGCCTTGTGTGTGTCTAAAGTTTTGAAGAGGACAATTCAGGGGAATAAAATTAGAATGCAGTGGCTAACGCTATGCTCCCTATATTCTTTCTGCCCACTTCCTCTTTTTTTTTTTTTTTTAGGGGGGTGTTGTTTTTACTTGAATACCAGGAGAAAAAGACAACATATAATAGGTTTCTTATTTGGAATGCCAGGAAGGACAATCTCTTCCCATGTCTGTGTAAGAAGAAGAGAACCTGGAACTGTTTTCAAGAATGCCCCTAAGTAAGTACAATATTTACTATTTGTATGGGATATGCTGGGCGTGGGATGAAATGGTGGGTAAGTCCCTCTACTCAGGGACTCATGGTCTCCCGAGCAGGCAGGCCATCATAGAAAGCATACTAGCACTTTGGAGCTAGGCGGGCTGTGTGCCACGGGAGCTCCCGGAGAAAAGGGAGGTTAGGAGGGACTGGAAGCAGGAGGGTTTTACAGAGGAAATAGCTTGTGCAAAGGCATGGAAGAGGGAGGGGAAGAGAGAGAAAAGGGGTGAGGGAGAGTGTAGGGGAATGGAAGGGAGGGAGAGCGAGAGAGAGGACGAGGCTCTTGGAGAATGGGAAGTAGTTTCTCTTGGTTGGAACCTAGAGTGCTGGGGAGAGGAAAGTGGCTGCAGAGAAGAAGGTGGCTGGAGGGTTAATGGAGACCAGTAAGATTCTTGTAAACCAGGATTGGTTGTTCCTGGAAGGTTTGAAGTAAGTACAAGCTTTACTTCTCTACCTCAACCTTGATTAGAGTTTAGTCTCCTATGAGGAATTCTTCATCAAACAACAAGCCAGCATTTAATTGAGTGTGTGCTTTGTGCTGGGTCTTGTATATAGCAATGAACATACAAAATTAAATATGGGACAGGCCCAACTTTTAAATCTCCCCACCAGCCATCAGCACTCAACAGAGTATCAAATCCACAAACACCTGAGGTTCATAGCATTGTGCCACGTGTTAAGTATTGAAGGGGAAATGGTCTACATCCCAGAATTGAGTTGGCCTGGGTTTAGATGAGCTACCTGGATTTGAGGCCCCTCTTGGCTTTGGCCTCCATCCAAGTCCTGATTTTTCTGTTGCTGACTTTCTAATCCTGAGAACTTTGATTCACTCTCCACCTCGGCTTCATCTCCTGGCTGCCACATTTGTCACTTTGACCTCTCTCCCTTTAAGACAATGACCTTCAGCCTAAGCATGTTGACTTTGACACCTGACAACCCCCCCTCCCTCCCCCAACCTGGTCCAGGCCTCTCATCAGATTAGCCCCATAAAACTGCCACCCACATCTCAGCATGATGGGTACCTATGGAAAGGGTCATGACGCTCAACTTGTCTCGCACCAGCTCGACGATCATGCTCTTCTGCAGCGGCGTGGAGCGGCAGCACAGGACGGACCGGCAGTACTGGGCCAACTCCAGAAATTTGTTCTCCAGCTTTCCCTGGAAAATGGCGTTCAGTGTCTTCCCATCGATGACCAATCCAACTGCTGGCACCGCGGCTCCTGAGGCGGGGGGAGGTGTCTCAGAAGGTAGGCGCAACCCAAAGAGCTTGCGCTCTGGCTTCCGGGGTCCATGAAATTGCTTCACTTCTTCCAGGGCACAGTTGAGGATGGATTCACAAGTTTCCTGGAACGAGTCGGAATAACGCATTTGGTGTTGGTAAGCAACATTGGAAACGTGGGTTTAAAAATCTCGCTTTATCCTTCAGTAAAATAGTTACCAAACTTTACCACCATACAGATGGCTTACCTGAGAAACATTCTCTGATTTTTACATTGCCCTGCAATATTTCAAACAACATCAAAGCTATATTAATTTGGAATCAAAACGGATGGCCAAAATAGGAGATACTGCTTGGGAATGGGCACGGCAATAGTTCAGCAAGATGGGGACTGATGTGGGGATGGTATGAGATACTAATGTGATGGTAAATAGGACAATATGTGCTAGAACAATGTTTTCTGTGTGTCAGTCATTTTAGCTCTCCTTTGTTCCTCAGAACAGTCCTGTGTGTAGGTAGGGTGGTTATTACCAATGTTAGTTTAGAGAAGAAGAAATAGAAACTGAAATTTTAGTAACTTGCTCAAGGTCATCCAACTAAGTAGTGGAGGCAGACCAATACTACTCAAATTGTGGCCTCCTAATTGAAAAAATACACGAACTGTGTGTTTATCTGTTGGTATGAATGTGTTGGTCACTGTACATGGATGTGAAAGTCTTATTGGTTTAAAGAAACTTATTTTTTCTGCCCTAAGTTTACCTTGAAACATAGTGAAGAAGTTTATTTCCTCTATCAATTCTCCTCCATTCCTTTTGGTTATGTCAGATTTTGGTTCTAAATATATTCTTCATCCTCTTTATGTTCCATGAACATCATTTTAAAATAAAGCTAGAGAAAAACGGTGGCAGTCAATTGTATTATCGATTTTAATAGCATTGTGCCGTTCGCATGGTCTTTACTTAGCAGTATTTTTCATTTACTGCTGTGCCAAAAATTTCTTCCAAAAATGAATTTTAAAATGCTCAAAGTGAGTCAATTTAAATGAAGTCATTAAATAAAAAATAGTACAGGCAATATGTGGATTTTTAAAAATTGTGGAAGTTGTTCTAAAATGACAGGTTTGGGAACCATTGATCTAGAAGCTTCTGAAAATGTTATAATTTTTCTGGAGGCAGTAGGACTGCAGCTTATTATTCCCGAGCCTTCCTTTAGGAAACACTAAAGAGGCAGTCAGTGTGCACAGACCTAAAGCGCCACAGGAAGTAGTTCAAGGAGCTACTGGTTACACCTGAAATACTTGGGAAAGAGATCAAGATAGTCCTTGCTGGAAGTTGGGATTAGCATACATTTTAAAAATTCCTCCAGCATAGGACCGCAGCAAGTCATTGGATACGTAAGCTTCCAAGTAAAAACCCCAAATTTTGAATTTTCTATGTAATAATCCCAATAGTTACTGTTAATTTAACATTTGGTATGTCAGATACTGTGGTAGGCAGCCCCTTAGCTGGTTCTCAGTGATCTCCACCTCCCAGGATTCATGCCCTTGTGCAATCTCGTGAGGGCTAGGACTAAGTGACTCCTTTCTAATGAAGGGAATTCTACAGAAGTGATGGGATGCCACTTCCAGGTTAGTTTGAAAGACTGGCTACCAATGCTGCATTCTTTCCCACTGTGCCCTGGATGGCTTGGCTTGCCTGGGGAAAGCCAGCAGTCAGGCTGTAGAGCACTCTCTGGAGATGCCCACACAGCAAGAACCAGGCCTGCTAACAATTATGGTCCATGAGCTTGGAAGAAGGACTCTCCTCCCCACCCCCAAATGACCCATTCCATTGAGCATCTAGCTGAACACACAACCCTGACTGACAGCTTGACTGAAACCTCAAGAGAGACCTTGAACCAGAGGTATGTACCCAGCTAGGCCACTCCTGGACTCCTAACCCACAGAAACTGTGCGATAATAAATGTTTCTCCTCTTTTAGTGGCTAAGTTTTGATATAATTTGTTAACAAATCCTATGCTAATAAATATTTTCCTTCTATGATCTTATTTAATCATCCCAAATAGCCTCTGAAATAAATCTTTTCTAAATGAAGTTCAGAGTTATGGTATCTGCACAATATTAAGCTTTCAAATATGTTGTTAATAATAACAATAATAGCTGCTATTATTAGTTTCTATTTAATACTATAGTCCCTTCTAAGATCCCTTAACAGATCAACACTTCCAGTGATGGGTTATTAATTCTCTCATCTTATGGCTGAAAACCCTGAGGTCTAGACAGGTCCCCTAACTTGCTTATGGCTTTAAGATGCATAACAAAGAAACAGTAGCTCTAAATCAATTTATAATGAATTAGGCAGATAAAAACCCTTGGAGAAAATATCCACTGAATATGTAATTACATTAAACGGGGGTTGAAATAAATCCGAGATTTAGAATGGATTTCCCCAGGGTCTCTCTTGACATATCCAGGCATCCACTCCTTTTCCCCAGACAAGAAGATGAGAAAGACTCGTAGGCTTAGCACGTCCAGGGGTGTGGGTAGAAATTAACAATCAGGCACCATCATGGAAGGTCCCAGACAACTTTAAAGAGTTGATAGTGACTGAAAACATGGAGTGTGGCCCACTGCTCCTTTGGACCTTTCACTAATTAATCAGCAAACATCTGCTTCCTGCAGGGATTCATTGCATTTAACAGAAGCCGCCCCCTCAACCCCCAACACACACAGGCTGGCTCACAGGTTTGAGATGTTGTCAAGTCCTTTTAGAATCACCTTGAGTGAAATGATCTTTTCGAACAACATTTCCATTGTCAGCAGAGAAGGGTGACATCGACACGATTACAGGGATCAAGCACTCAAGCAAGCTGCAAATTACTTTCTCTCCTAAGCATCATCTTAATGCCAGATATTTCCCTGAGATTATTTTCATTTAGACAATTCTTTGGGGTTTCATCTAATCATAGCATCATCTGTGCACCTCACAAGAAAGTAAATGGGTTTTCCAACTCATCTCAAGAGCCTCAGGCACTTTCATAGTGTACACTACTTTTTTTTTTTGTTAAATATATTTTATTGATTTTTTTTACAGAGAGGAAGGGAGAGGGATAGAGAGTTAGAAACATCGATGAGAGAGAAACATCGATCAGCTGCCTCCTGCCCACCCGCTACTGGGGATGTGCCCGCAACCAAGGTACATGCCTTTGACTGGAATTGGACCTGGGACCCTTCAGTCCGCAGGCTGACACTCTATCCACTGAGCCAAATCGGTCAGGGCTGTACACTACCTTTAAAAAAGGTGCATATGTGGATTCTTTATGAAATAAATGACAAATTCGAACCTCACAAACTTCTGGGTCCTGATCAGCTTCAGGCAACAATGAAAGTCCGAGATTCCATCCTCCTCCTGCCTTTTTCCTGTCGTCTTTCTTTCCCACCTCCCTCCCTCTGCTCCATCCTTCTCCCCGTGGCATGCTCTAGGTCTCCAGGTCCCCTGCACTCACCACCCCTGCAACACAGTGCTTTCCTTGTTAACACCCACATCTAATGCCATCCCTGCCTCCTTCTGATAGCATACAAGTCAGCGCCCACTTCCCATATTCCCAACAAGACAGTGGAAGTTCACTTTCTGCAGTTTGCGTTGTGAAAATACACTTAAATATAAAATCGCATTACAACTTTGAATATTCTTCTTCAGACTGTACACAGCCCTTCTCTAAACCTTGCTCTCTGCCACCCATAACCTCGTTGGGTTGAAAAAAAAAAAATCACAGTTTTAGAACTGTGCTTCTCTCTCTCCCCTAACCCATTAAAATGGACTCATCTCGTGTGTCATTCCCTCCTCCAGGATGTATTCTGTGGCAAACCAAAGTGACTTACAAATTGGAGCTGAAATTGTAAACTCAGAATAATTTCAATTTAACTGAGGCTTTTTTCAATGGAGGGTTCATCCAAGGTATAACCAACCAACCACGGAGGCTCTGAGAGCAAACAGCATGGTGTCATGCAGTCCGCACTGGCCTGCAGGAGAGCAGCATTCTAGACTTACTCTGTCAGAACCACAAGGTGACCCTGGGCAGGTGACAGCCTCAGTGATCGTCAGTTTCTTTACCTTAGAACGAGGAGGCTGGGCCAAGGGAAGAATTCAGGAGAGGTAGGACTTTTGCGTATGTGCTGTTAGACATACTGTAAATACACTGGCCCACCAGATGTGGGGATGAGGTTAGAGGACACTGGGCTGCTTGACGTCAGGGCCCTCAGAGCTCCAAGATGTTGGGAGAGTGGCTTCCTCAAATACCCCAGTACCACCCATAAGCCCGTCCTCTGTTGGCCCAAGCTACTCTGCACTTAGACATTGGGCCCTACTGTGGCCTCACCTGGCTTTCAGTGTTAATGGAGTAAACAGTGTCGGTCTGATCCAACAGTCTGCAGGAGTAGGCGATGTTGACCGCTGTCTCCTGCTTATCTCCAGTCAAGACCCAGAGCTGGATCCCAGCTTCCCGCAGAGCTGCGATTGTGTCTGGAACTCCTTCCTGCAGCCGGTCTTCGATCCCAGTGGCTCCTGGAGTGATTAGAGACAACGGAGATCACATTCACACAGAAAAGCAGCTGCCTGGTTTCCGTGAAGGCCTATCGAGCCAGGCAGTAATTATTAAGTATCCTCCACATTCTAGGCTGTACTAAGCACCCAGGATTTAGTAGTGAAATACACAGAGCTGGCCCCTACCCTCCAAGCTCCAGGCCCTGTTGAATAAGGGTTTGTAACTGAGCTATATGAGAAGCCCAGGATGAAACCTATGCCAGGAGACCTAAACTTCATCTGGAAGGTCAGAGAAGGCCTTGCTGAGAAAGTGTACTTTAAGCTCAGGCCTGGAAGATAAAGCCAAGGGGTGGAGGAGAAAATGAATTCCAAGCAGAAGGATCAGCATGTGTCAAGGCCCTGGGGCCAGAGTAAGAGAAGACACAGAAAAGAAGGCAGAGTGGGGTGAGAAACGAGGCCAGGAGATAGGCTTTGCTGAGCAGGGCATTAAAAGATTGGGATTTATTTGGTAGCCGAGAAAGCTATTAAACAGACTTAGGTTGGACAGTGGCAGGATTAGTTTTGAGTCATAAGAACATCATTCTAGAGAACGGATTGGAGTTTGCAGCAAGCAGCATGAATAATTTGGGGCTAACAGTTAGAAGCCAAGCAGGAGTGCAGACAGCTGCCGGCATAGTGGCAGTGGGAGTGGAGAGAAACAAAGAGGCTGAAATCTTGGCTATGCAACCGCTCCCAGCAGAATTAATAGAGACCCAGGTTTTTGCTCATTTTCTTGGAGAGAATTAAACATGCAGCTTCCATACATTTTGAATCATCTCCAGCTTTGCATCAACCTAAATATTGAATAACAGTGATTAAGCAAAAATAAACCGGCATTTAAATTGAGATGCATTTCAGAGCACAGACCCATTTCACTCTGGGCAGGAGCAAGGCATTCATTTCTTTCAATGATTCCGAGTGACAATAGGTTGGCAAAGCAGCTACGCTGGATGCATAGGGAAGAGATCACCCTCCTCTGGGGCCGAGCGAGCATGCCAGGCAGCTTTGCAAGAGCAGGGCGGGTTCTTGGGGGCAAGCTGAGCTCTCTGCCTGGCCCCAGCCTCTCCTTCCCGAGCCGCCTCGAGGGAAGAAAAACAGCCTCGCTGTCAAGAAATGTGCCTGTTTTGTATCTGAGGCCCAAACAGCCAGGTAAACAACCCTGGGAAGAGTGATGGCCCGGCCTCAGCTTTCCCTCCCAGGGTTCGCTTGGAAGGTGGGCCTCTGAAGCTGATGGATGTTGTGGGGAGGCAGAGTGAAGGCGAGAGGAGGAAAAACACGTGTTTTTTTTTTGGTGTGTGTGAAAGAGAAAATGAAAGAGGAAGGCATGAAGGCCTTTCCCAGCAAAGGGGGCCGACGGGCCCTGGCAAGTGTGTTCTCTCTTGTGGAACCAGCCGGGTAGCTCTGCTCACCAACAGAGGCCAGTGCTCCCGAAACAAGGAACATCAGGGGCGAGGAGGGTCAGCGCCCTGGTGGGATGACCCCTCCGGTGACCTTGTGTGGTGGGTGGAGCTGTCTGGCCTAGAGACCTCTGGCGCCTGTTGAAATGAGTTCTCGTGACCAGCTTTCAAGGGGGCCTTGGGAAGCAGCAAACAAAACACAGAAACGAAACACAGAAGCGAAAGGCTGGAGGAGGGGTGGAGCAGAATTCCGACCCGGCTGGCCACCCACCTGTCCAAATCTTGCTGCTGCTTTTATATAGAAAGGCTTCCTGCAGCAGCGCTGGGCCTTCCTGTTCCCTTGCACCTGACCTGGCTGAGCAGCCTGGGGTGTGGGTTTTATCCAGAGAAGAAGCGAGGCTCGGAGGCTGTGGGGATGTGTCCCTGGGCACACAGCAAGGTCCGGCAGAGCCACGCCTTGGCCCTTGTGCCCAGGTCAGCATCGCCTTCTGAGGTGGAAGAAAGCGGCCCTGTGGCCAGTGTGTGCATGCTGGGCCCGCATGGCCTTTCCTAGATCTGACTCCCGAGCTGTGAGATGAATCCGGATAAATGAAGCCTCCCCTGCTCTCTCAGCAATGCTTTTCGTTCACCAGGAATCCATCGCTGGCTTTTAACTGTGGCCTCCATGCTGCTCCTCTTCCCCCAGCATACCAATCTCACTTCTGTGCAGAAAGCACAGGTCTGTCCCTGCTTTCCCTCCCGTCCCCTCTCCAAACGTTCAGCATGTGATGTGCAGGGTCCTTCCTAATCTGGGTCCTGCTGACCTCTCTCCCCCACACTCCATGGGCTACCATAGCAGACCTGAGTTACCAGCCGGCCCCTTCCTATTGCTGGAACACTCTCCCCCTTGGCCTGACCAAGTCCTCTTCTCCACTCACTCCAGCATTCCTGCACCCCCTTGGCCCCAGGCCAGGTTAGCACCTTTTACTCTGTGTTTCCATCCCATCTGGTAAGTCTTCCAGCCCAGCCCTCATCACACTGTTTAATTACTTGTTTAGTCTGTTTCCTCACTAGACTCTGGGAGCCCAGGCCCCTGTGGCTCTTATTCCCTGTTGTAGCCCCAATGCCTCGCATGCTACTTGATACACAGTAGGTGCTCAACAAACATTTGAACAAATAGAGGGAGAAGCAACCAGACTCCTAGGCTTCACGCAGCAGGGAGTGCAGGAATGCTCCCGGGCACCCTCGGGAGGCTGCATGTGGAATCTGGGTTGCATGTTGGCACAGTCTGTGCCAAATCTCTTGAAAGGCGCCCCGGGGAAGGCTCCTAATTGAGACACATTTGTAGCAGTGTCAGAATCAGGGCCAAGAACTCCCTTTCCAGCTTGCAGCATTCCTATTTTTCATTTAATGAGGGCTTATTTTTAGCTACCCAGTAAGGTGAGTCGATTCTCCAGATGCTGGGCGGTCTCCATCAGAAGTTCATCTCGGTTGTCGAGGGATGCCTCGGCCTCATGCCGGAAACTGGCCCATCGCCGGAAGTCCTCTTCACTTAGGACCTACGGGATAGGAATAGTCTCGTTCACAACTCTCAGTGGATCCCTTCTCTTTCCCATGTGCCTGTTTGAGCTTCTCTACACAATTAGATGGGGCCTTCTCCTCAATGATTGCTTTCTTGAGTGTACAAATCAATGGAGGATTGATCCTCATGTTCCATTATCACCAAACATCTGTTGAGCTCTTGCCCTGCTCTGGGCACTGAAGGTATAGCAATGATCAAGACAGATGAGATCCCTGCATGCCTGGGCTTATGTGCTACTGGAGGGTGAGAGACATTGTCCAAGTAAATAATTTAAAATAATAGGTCATTTCAAGGAATTCTATGCAGAAATTAAAGAGCGTGATCTGAAGATGTGTGTGTGTGTGTGTGTGTGTGTGTGTGTGTGTGTGTGTGTGTGAGAGAGAGAGAGAGAGAGCGAGAGACTGGGTAGAGGGATAGCTGTGGGAAGAAAGGCTATTTCATTTGAATCTTCAGGTCTCTTAGACAAGGCGACATACAAGTTGAGAGCCAGTGACGAGAAGGGTTCAGTCATGGGGAGGGGGAAGTGCAAAGGCTGTGAAAAAGCAATGAACTTGGTTTCATCTATTCCTTGTAAACACCAGTTGGCTGAAGGATGGAGAGTCTGGAAGAGAAGAGCCAGCAATGAGGCTGGACAGGTAAGCAGCATCCAGATCTTGCACAGCCTGGTAGAATTCTCCACCAGTTATTGGAGGTGGTACCCCAAAGCCGGAAGAATACAACTAGAGGACATATCTTCCTCCCTTGGAGTCCCATAGTACTTTAGACCCCTGTGCTGGAATTGCATGAATACAGCAATGAATATTCCTAGATTTTCTCTCTGTGAATGGCACATAGGAAAAACCAAGGGGACACGAGTAGGTCTTTTGCTCTTGTGAAATTCACAGTTTTATTAGAGGAGACAAAATAGGCACAAATAATTTCAACGGAAAATAGAAGAGTATAATTACAGCTACAGAGTAGTAAGCACTAGTTGCTGTCCCATGTATACATGTTAATCTTCATGACAACTGTATGAGGTAAGGAGCGCTGACACCATTTCATAGATAAGAAAATCCAAAACTCTGAGAGATGAAGAAATTTGCCCAATGTCACTCAACAGATAAGTGGCGAGATTGAGACTTGTACCCAGGTAGGTCTGGCTTTAAAGTGGGTGCTCATAAACTCTTACATTTTTATGGTTGCCTAAGGACCATGAACAAGATGAGCTCTGGGGATTTATGGAGAAATAAATCCAGCCATCTAGAAATATATGTCCATCATAGTTCCCTCCCTGATTTTAGGTGCTCTGGGACTCTTAACTCTCTGTCTGCCTCACCTGCAGGGGCTGCCAAGTTAAAGACCTGCAGGAGGTGAGGTAGGTAATCTACATGACTATAACTGGGCCAAGGGAAACAATAGGGAATAGTGGGGACTGTGGCCAACCACAACACAGCAGAATACATTTCTCCTCAGGGATCAGCTGCTACGTGGCTGTAGCTATTTGCTTCCATTTGAGAATGGAGACCCACTTTGACAGCTCCTCTAAATTTTTGGGAGAAACCAGAAATCTAGACTTTTAGGTGATCACATAAAATCTCCCAAATTCCCAATCTAGGCAAATAATGCAGATTTTAAAAGAATATGCTCAAGGCAAAATTATAACATTAAACATTATTTTATGAGTGAGAGGTAACCAATTACATATACAAATAGCCACACTGATATGGAACCTTGCCATTCAGATTTCTGCCCCAGCAAAACTGTCAAAAGTCCTGGGTCTTTGTGGTGAGTCAAAATAGCTAAGTTTGAAAATGTTAAAGCAACCCACATTAAGGGTCTTCTAAAAAGAAGTAGAAAAGATAAAATCAGGGTTGCGGCCCTGCACGTACTTAACGAGGAATCTGTTCTCACCTTCTTGGCGATGCACAGTGTTCGAAGACCATCTCTTGCGTACAAGTCTAGATGCTTCTGTGTCCGGGCTCGGATTTTCCTCAGCTTCTTTTCCACATCAGTGTCAGTCACTGTGAAGGAGTCATTGTCCCGCATGAGGTCATATACAAATGCTCAGGGATCCCCATTCTTAACATCCTGGAATCTTTAGTGGAGAAATCCCCTCACAGCCCTCCACAGAACCAGAGGGACTCTCCTGGCTGTCAGGGTGCCCAGGAAGGTGATCTCTGGGAGTCCTTCCATTGTCTGCTCTCTACAGCTGATCATCACAAGCTTGGCTGAGAAATGCACTACTTACGAGGGTAGGTGGTCCAAGGTGTTCTTACCAAACACCTGTCTGCATCAGAATTATCTGAGAACGTAAACAAAAAAGAGAGATTCCCAGGTCCAGTTGAAGCTCTGCTGAATCAGGGACGACAGTGGATCTTTATTATGACCCCAGGTGCTTTCCTTGTAGCCACTTTAGCCCTGGATGACCAACGGTTTGCTAAGTGTTGGACATCCTATCCACCACCTTCTCTGTCATCTACTTCAGTCCTTATATCTAGTTAGGTTCCAAGACAGCTTTGGACTTGAATCTCATTGCTAAGTTCTTCACCACACTGCAAGAAATGGTCTTAGAAAAAAAAATTATTTGCATTTCCTACCAATATAGTGTTTAGAATGAAAAAGACTTCATTGTGTTGCTCAAAGTCCCCTTTATGAAGTCCTACATAATACATTTCTTTTAGAAAAAAATTAATCTTTTTCTCTTGAATTCTAGTACTTTTATCTACCAGATAAAAGGAATTTTTCATCCTGGGTTTGTGGGTATGGGGCAGGATTGATGCTATTGCCACTTACTTTATCTAAGATGTCCCAGATATCTCTAATCATTTGCAGCACTTTATAAAGCTAGGTTTGGAAAAAGCTTCAGTCATTTTTTTTTAAACCAGGGCTACATTGAGATCTTCAGAGGCTCTAAGTAGTAAACAGGTTTCGGGCACCTCATCCATCCCTTCATATAATGCAAAATTAAAAATACAATGTTTAACAGTAAGATAAGTATAAGAAAGCACAATGAGCTCTGATTTCCCCCGTGATACTATTCTACGGCTGTTTTCATATACTGCAAAAATTCTTTCAAAGATTACTTTCTCTTTTTTCAGAAGGTGTGACTGTTTTCTTAGTGCCTGAAGCACAGTCTTTATGCACTGTCTTATTGAGCACTATTTGAAGTATTTTATTCTCAAAGACATCAGTTCCTAAGATTAAACCCTTTTGCCTTCTATCTGGTTACCTTCGAATTGACCTTTTTTTTGCTCAGGCTAACAGAAACCTCATGGTCAAATTGAACGTTCAAACACCATAAATATGTTACACCTAGGGTTAGTTTCCCCCTTCCTTTTCAAAGCTTTAGTCCTCAATTCTTAATAGTAACATTGCTCATGTGTCTTTTATTGGAAACATCTCTAATCCATTTTGCATTCAGGTGAGGAACAAATAAAAAACCATCTCCAGGGCAGCGTTGATGGCTGTTGCCCAGGGACAGAATACTGTGGCTCCCTTGACTCCAAAACACGGAATTCACTCCTCTGCCAGAGTCTGGGGATAAAGAAACCTAATCAGCTCCCTTCCCATTCTAAACGCTCATCCATCCTCATGAACCTCTTGGCTTTGATCCATAGCTGGTAATGCAGGAGGCACAGGGCTGCCTGGCAATTCTAAAGCTTGGCTGGAACCAGCTACCCTGAGAGAATCACAGCCCCATAACCATCTTCTCCTTGTTAGCCATCAAGAAGCGTCTGTGCACTGATTCATGCTGCTCCAAAGCTAGACACTGATAGCTAGGGACCATGGAACATTTTTCTGGCTTGGTGCAAGTTTATGGAAATCCATTTGGGAGAGGCTGGGGGAAAGGATGATGAAGAGGGCCACCTGAGGCTTCCCAGAGTGCACGGAGCCTGGCAGGGAAGTCTGGCGGCATGGAAGGCCTCAGGGTACCCGGGCCGAGGATGTGTCACTGGTTACCTCGCCTCCTCTCTGAGGTCACTTCCCTCTCTGGGTTCAGTTGGTCTCTCTCCAAAACTAAGAATGAGGACCACAGTATTTTCTAGGATATGTTAATGGATGTCCTGCTAAAATATAGTGTATGGATAATCCATGTTTAAGTGAGTTTAGAAAACTAGAAATGGGGATAAAGGAGTTAAAGAGACTTGCTCTTACAAGACCTCCCCAAGTCTAGCTCCCAAGCTCTGTCATTCTCCAGGTCGAGGGCACGTGGAATGAAAGAAGCCAGTGTTAGGAACCGCTGTGAAGAGAGCAGCTTGTGGCCCGTGTTCCTGGGGATCTGCTGGGCTGAGTGGCGCTGTAACTTGAACTCATCATTCTCCTCCCAAGCTGCCTCCTAAATCACGGAGCCCTCTCTTCCTGGAGCCCTGGTGAGGGGGGACTCACCACAGGCCGGGTCTTCCAGCAGGTCCATGATAACCGAGTCGGCGCCCTTGGTATAGACGATGATCTCGCTCGTCAGCGGGTGCCTCACAATGACGGACATCCTCTTCCTGACAGAGTCAAAGCCCAGGGTGCAGAGGACATCGAAGGTGAGGCAGGTGCCCTGAGGCAAGCGCACAGTCACCTGCTCCGGCGTCCGGGACACCAGTGTGAAGCTGTAGGCATGGGCGGCGTGCACCAGGGCAGCCTCATCGGGGCTCTCGGCCTCGTAGCAGAGCTCGGGGCTGGCCGGGCCGAGGGCCGGGTCCTCCAGCACCTCCTCCAAGGAAGTGCCTGACCCAGACGCCAGGGCCTCACCTTGGTCCCATGTGCTGCTCCTGTAGCCGCCATCAGTATCAGTCGAGTAGCCTCCACTGCACACAGATGCGTCGTCTCTGTCTTCTGAGTCCGTGGTGGGCATGGTGGTCCCCAAACTGTCCCCCAGGTCGGTGTCAGAGGGCGCGGTGGAGGAGAATGATTGGCTGAGGCTGGAAAACTTCAACTTCTGGAAGAGCTGGTGGATCTTCTCCAGGGAGGTCCCCAGAGCCTTGGTCGAGGGTGGCATGGTGACCTTGGGATCGAAGGAGGGAAGGAGAACATTACTCTCAATATTGGGGAAAAAAAGTCATGCGGTCTGTGGCAGAATCTGCAGGTCATTTTGCAAGAAATGGATTACTTGGGCCCTCTGTGGTCGTGGGCAAGTCTTCTCCTCTAGGTGAGCCTCAATTTACCCACCTATAAAAATGAGAGTCTCAGGCCAGATGTTCCCTCTAGCCCTGACATGCCTGGGATTGGTAATGACCATCCCATTCTAATCAGAGATAAAGGAAAGAAAAGGAGACAAAAGCCAGACCCATAGTAAGAGTTCACATTCCCACACCCTTACCGGAGCCTTTATCTTTGCACGCGTCATTTCATTTCATCTTCCCTAACTTTATACTATCATTATCCCAACTTATGGACGAGGAAACTGAGGCACAAAGAGGTTAAATAAATTGGCCATCACCACCCAGTGTACAGGGAGTACAGCTGGGCCTCAGGCCTGGTTCTGTGTGACTCCAGAGGTTGGGACCTCCAGCGGCCAGCCAGCTGAAGCCTCGCTGTTTACTTAAAGATTAAGAGGCGGATGCTGTCCTCCCCAGAATGGTGCTCCTTCCTCTTGAAAACAGAGTTCTCAGGTAACGCTACCTTCTCTCAAAGCTCCCTGAAGACTTCTGATAACCTGGTGACTTTAAGGTGGCTGAAGTGACTTCTCAGGGTGGTTTGGGATCGGGATATAAGAAGGAGGGGGGCTCTGAGTTGGTGCCTGGGTGAACCTTTTTCTTAATTTCATAGCCACAAATTATAACACCCAATTATTCTCATCAGGTACTCACAGGGGAGCCTGGGTGAGAGTCAGTGGATAATTAAAGACACAGCTAATTTCAGTACTAAAAAATAATTCAGAGTCTAATCTCCTATAAATGGCCATCCAGCTGCATTATCTCCCAATTGGCAGAACATCACACATGGCGGTATTTCTTCTAAACCCCATATAAAAGCAGAGGCCAGTGTAATATGCTGTTATGGAGTCATACAGATGGTTCTGTCATGTATTAACCATACATCTTTTGTTGAATTACTCAAGCTCTCTGAGCCTGTTCACTTTTTTTTTTTTTTAACTTTGGTGGAATCTCTTTTATTCTTTCTTTTGTAAAAATATATTTTTATTGATTTCAGAGAGGAAGAGAGAGGGGGAGAGAGAGAGAGAGAAACATCAATGATGAGAAACTCATTGATTGGCTGCCTCCTACATGCCCCCTACTGGGGATTGAGCCCGCAACTCGGGCCTGTGCCCTTGACCGAATTGAACCTGGGACCCACTGAGCCAAACTGGCTAGCACTGTTTCTTCACTTGTTAAATGCAAAGCCAAACAGCGTAGGATTGTTGGATAATGAGGATTAAAAGATAACGTAGCCGAAGTGTTTGGCACGGAGCCTGGCATGTAGCAAGTGCTCAGTAAATATTAACTCTTTTTAAAAAAATATATATTTTATTGATTTTTTACAGAGGGGAAGAGAGAGGGATAGAGAGTTAGAAACATCGATGAGAGAGAAACATCGATCAGCTGCCTCCTGCACACACCCCCCCTACTGGGGATGTCCCCGCAACCGAGGTACATGCCCTTGACCAGAATCGAACCTGGGACCCTTCAGTCTGCAGGCTGATGCTCTATCCACTGAGCCAAACCGGTTAGGGCGATATTAACTCTTAATATCTACCCTTCAGACAGATAGACACAAAATTTGAAAGCTACATTAGAGTTCATATATAACTTTTTCTATTTTATTTAAAAATGAGGAAACTGAGGCCCAGAAAGGGTAAGAGTTCAAGGTCTCAGAGGGATGAAATGGCGATACTGTGGCTAGGGCTCAAGTGTCTTGTCTTTCTGTTCAGGGTGTCACCCCTTGCCCTTACCCTTCCTCCCCTCCCCTGCCACTCCCTCCGTCACCGATCCTTACCCTCTGCCTGGGCTCAGTGGTTGTGGAGACCATGACGGAGTTGCAGATGGTTAGGGCGAGGAAGAAGTCAGCGATGGAGGAGGTGGTGGAGAGGGAAGCCTTGGCAGGTCTGGAGTCTGGCAAGCTCTCCAGCCACAGGGCAGCATCTTGTACCTTGGTCAGTAGGTTTTTATCTGGAGTCACATCTTTTTCCTGAGAGAGAAAGAACTTGGTGAGTCTTTCCTAAAGGGACTCGGAGGAAGCCTACCCCCAAACCCCAAACACACCAGGTTCTTTGCATGCCTGGGGAGAGGATAACAGTCTTCCCTGTACTCTTGAATCCAGACAGCGCCCCCTCTGCAAGCCCAGTCACTACCGATTCTTATTTGATTCCTCCCTCTCCCTCACCTTACATGTCCATCAGTTATAAGGTCTGGCAATTCTTTCATTACATTGTCTCCCCACCATTTGTCCCTCAGTCCCGATGCTACCAACAGGCTCAGATCCTGTGGCCTCACTCCTGGATTTCTGCATCACCTCTAAGCTGATGTTGCTGCCTCTCACCTCTTTTCCTTCTAACCCTTCACATGTATCTCCCCCGCATCTTTCTAAACACCTTTTCCCTCAGGTACTCTTGAGCTCAGTAGACCTTCAGGAGATCTTCATCGCTGGCACAATCAACTTACTCTATCATCTAAATTTTTTTCGCAGTCTCTGTTCCCACCACTTCTCAACACAGACTATTAGCTTAGCCAGGAGGTGTGTTTGCTGTCTCCTGGATGAACCCATTCTATGCCTGTGATCTTACCTTGTTTGTAAGTCTCCTTCTGTCTACCAAAATTTTACCTGGACTTCAGTAACCATGAAAAACACATGGATTGTTATGGTGAGCTTTTTCCAAATGCGACACATGCTGCAAGGGCGGGGAGGTGGGGATGGAGGTGGGGGGACGGACCTCAGTCGGCTAGGAAGAAGGGAGTTTTCCACCTCTTAGGAATAGGATCACTGCAGCCATGCGTCTCTAATAGGGACCCTGGGGGCCAAGGGAAGCACAGTTGAGATGGCCTTCATCTGTCCCTGCCTGTGTGGCCACATCACTTTCAAAAGATTTTTCTGTGCTTGGCTGATTAAATCAGTACCTAGCCATCGTGTGTGTGTGTGTGTGTGTGTGTGTGTGTGTGTGTGTGTGTGTGTGTGTCGGGGGGGTGTGGCAGCGTGGGTATGTGGGCTGTCCACCCACAGGAACAGACTGGAGTGCTGCATCAGTCTCTTCCAAAGGAAGAAAGGAAAACCAAGACGAAGGACAAGGCAGAGGGCCAGGGTGTTCTTTCTGGAGGGGCGGGAGGGGCTGTGCCTACAGAAGGGAGTGGTGATATGTTTGGAGACTGGACAGTCCCCAATGCAAATTTTATGACCAGGAAGATATTCTTTGATCTGATGGTTCTGGAAAACTTTTGCAAGTGGCACTTTTAAACAAAGACTCTCTGCTCAAATCTTGGCTGCTTGCAGACCAAGAAAAAAAAAGGCATTTCATTTTCTATCTGCCAGTCTATTAAACACTGGCTCAGCCCTCACCCTGTCATAAGTGTGCTACCCCACCCTCAGACCACAGCTTTTATAGTAGCCTATTAGGCAAAAACGACCCATGCTTCCTTGTTCTTTGTAGTAAAAGAAAGAAGCCAGCTTTTGTTGTTAATGTTGATACTCATTTTGTTTTTGGTTTAGAGCCAAGAGCCAAGGAGACTGAGAATGGGCTCCTTTAGAATGTGGCCTGGTGCTCCATCACGACTTGGCACCTTGGGGGATTCAGAGGCAAGTTCTGATGGTGTTTACAAAGGGAAGTACAGACCTGGCGGTGCCAGGAGATGATAGGACCAGCTGACTGCCAGATGGGCAGGTGGCAGAGAGGCAAGTTCAGGAACCTGCCAAGAAGTGGGTGGGGGCAGGAACCAGGAGATCCTCTGGGGCTGCCCCCAACATGGTCCATGGACTCATTCCAGGATCTGCCACTCCAGCCACAGATATTTTACAGGTAGTTAGAGCCCTTTAAGGAAACATAAACCACCCTCTCAGCCAATGACTTCCAAGCTGGAGAAGGAGCCTATTTGAGATAAAGGTAGATGATTTCCTAGTGAGGGGCTGGTATGCTTACAGAGGTCCTCATCTTGGTTGCTCACTAGAACATCAGAAATAAAAATATGAGTGCTCGGGCCCTACCATAGACCAAATAGGCTAGCATCTCAGAGGAGAGGGCTCAGCATTGCATTTTACAAAGATGCCCATGTCCCCAGAGACGGGATCATTTGTCCAAAACAGAGAGCTTTCTTTCAGAAAGATGACTTAAAACTTCGATTAGTTACCCATCCATCTAGAATGCATGATTTGAATAATTAGATCTTCCAAAGAAGCTCAAGAGGCAGAACAATGATGGGAATGTGGAGGCTTCAAGCTGGGCAAGTTGACTGAAGCCACAGAGCTAATAATGGTAGAGCCGAGATGACCCCAAATGTGCCTGACTCGTAGCTGGAAGGGATCTTGCAGGTCAGCACCAACATTATGTTATTTGAGTTTTAGAACAGCTGGTGAGAGTTGTAAGTAAAGTATTTTCAGGTAATAAAAGGGATAGAAAGGGGTCTGACATGTTGCTATGGTTACCCAGCAAGCCAGTAGCACAGCTGAAATGAGAACCTACGTTTCCTGACCCTTAGCCCAGTGCCTTTCCTTCCTGGGGATGCTATTGTCCCACTAACCCCAGATCTTCAAGCAAACAGAATGACACGTGGCAGTTCGTAAAGAGAACGCGTCACCATCTGCATCTGCCTAGACAACAAGGATTTGCTGTTGATCTATGTGTCAATTTCCTTATTGCTCTGGAATGAACTTAGAACTGCCTTTAGAAGTGCCAGTCAGGGCGGGAGGTGACATCCAGGATATGGATATAGCTCAGAGGTTAATGTGTCCCTTTCACTGACCAGCAAGCAGCGAAGGGCCCCGAATAGAAGTTAGACTGGGTTGGCTCAGGGCTGCAGTTTTTCTGGGTGACTGAGATTTGTCAGGTTGAACAGGGGGCAGTGAATCTGTGAGCCCCAACTGAGAGCTACCAAGGAAAGGCTCCTTTCTCTCCCCACTGGTCCTGGCGGAGACATTCTCAGGCACATGGGCCACCTGTGGTGTCTAGAACTGGAAAGTGCCAAAGACACACAAATGCAAGATCTACAACCCATGCCTAATGAGAATTCACTAATTCATGGTTCAAATATTTAGGTAAAGAGCTGGGGGAAAGGCATTCCATTCAGAGGGGACAGAATTAAATAAGGGAAAGACTTGACAATATGGAGGTCCTGTTGTTATCTCATTTGGGGGAAAAAAAAACACAGGAAAAAAACCACACCAAATCAAAAGGCTTCCTAAAGGCGTCTACGGATCATTTGTCTTGGGAGTTTATGAACATCAGATGTCTTAACACATTGTTATCATTTGATCCTTGTTAATGTTGCATGTCTGTGCATAATAACAAAATAGAGTTAACTCAACTTTATTGATTTTAGAGAGAGAGAGAGGGGGAGAGAGAGAAACATTGATTTGTTGTTCCACTTATTAATGCATTCATTGGTTGCTTCTTGTATGTGCCCTGACCGAAAATCAAACCTACAACCTTGGTGTAGCAGGATGACGCTCTAACCAACTGAGCTACCTGGCCAGGGCAGAGTTAACTCAATGTTGTACTCAGAGTTACAGAAGTAACAACCCAGAACACACAGACTTGCAGCGTTTTTTTCCCTTGTTGCAGTCAGAAAGCGCAGTCCTGGGTTAGGAATATGAGGCAGCAATATGGACAATGCTTCTGACATCTTGTCAGATCCAAAAAACCTAGAACCTATAATTATATGTACTATGATTGCAAAAATGTTAAATAGATGGAGTTATGCATGTGTATTAATGGGGGAAATAAAAGCTTGGAAGGAAATTCACCGAAAGGATCATTTTGAAATCATATTTTCTAATCATGGAATACTAGAACTTCAGGTTCCTCTTTAAGTTTGTGACTTGTTCAAGACAAGCTGGGGCTCCCTGTGGCCTTTCTGTGAGAACAGAAGATTCTAGACCACGTGTCTCTTAGAGAAAGAGCAAGGTGCAGAGGAAAGCAGACAGGCAGGAGCTAGAGGCCCGGTTCTGGCTTTCACTACCAGGGAATATTGGAGATCTTGTAGAAGAAACTCAATTTCTTCACCTGCTCCCTGGACAGTTAGTGATGGGTGTCCCTGTGGATCAAATGTGAAGGGACCACATGCAGAAAGCTGCAGGGGTGTAGGACCACAGGGGCCAGGCAGTTGACCTAAGGGAGTGAATGTGCCGGGTAATTTTGACATTGATGTTTTTGCTTCATAACAATTGGAGACTCTCTTTGATGATCACAAAAAAGATATTCTCCCATTTTTCTTGAAATGCATAAGCCCGTAGGCTTATCTTTTGTTTTTCCACTTTATAGAAACCGGGGGATGGCAAATGTTTCTCTTTCCTCTTAACTGTATTATTTGAAAAACAAGCATAATGGACATGCCGCTGGCCCTCGGCTCAGTGATGCAAGTGAGGCAAGGACTGTGATGAACTAGAGATTACATGCCCAGACTAAACGGCATCGACTCTTTAACTCAAGCCAATTTCTTCCACAGGGAAATGCTAGCTTAGTGTGAAGGATTTTCCCAATTCCATTTTTAAAAAACAGAAGCCAGAAATCTATGTTTATGTGAAATCTCCTAATTTCTAAATACTAAACATCGGAAATGAACAAGAAGTGTGCATGCCCAATAAAACGCGTATGAAGATTGCATACAAGACCAAGGGCTGGCATTTGGAGAGCCCTTCAGGGTTTTTATTGTCTTTTGTCCCTCACACCCCAGAGCCCCCTTCCATCTCTCCCCAGTAGAGACCACTTGCAATTCAAAGAGGAAAAGGCAGGGACTTACGATGGAGCTGCTGAAGGCCACAGAAGACTGTGTGTTTTCCCAGCGCCCCTCGGACCTCTGTCGGGAGTGGCCCTGGATGGGTACCCGGGCACTCTGGCATCTCCTCAGAGGCTGGATGCCTCCTGGGCTTCTCACTGCTGCTGGGCCCTGGGCCCATCTGGCCGGGAAGGACAGGCACTGGTATTGGGTCCACTCTTCACTGTCTGAGTCCAGCTCCTTTGGGACCTCCAGTCGCTTGGCTGCGGGAAAGGAGTCCTGTTATTGCCCCTGTCATACCTGGGCTGGACTATGGCTGGGGAAATCCCAGACTCGGAGTGGTGGTGAAGAACACCGAGGAAGAACACTGCTGCTCTGGCAAGCAGGGAGCTGGCTACTCTGACTGGAGAAAGGGATGCAACCAAGTGACACAAGGTGCAGATCCTGGCTCTACTACCTCCTCATTGTGTGGCTCTGAGCTTTGGCTAAACCTTGTGTCTCTATTTCCTCAGATAGGGGGTTAAAAAAGTACCGAACTCTATGGGTTGTTTGGGAGACTTAGAATACTCTAAGTACTGATGATGATAGCTGTTTTTATTATTAAAAAGGATCAGAAGGACACAGCCGGTGTGGCTTAGTTGAGTATTGACCTATGAACTGGGCGGTCATGGTTCAATTCCTGGTCAGGGCATATTCCCTGGCATTGTGGGCTCCATCCCCAGTGTTTCTATCTCTCTCTTCCTCTCCCTTCCTTTCTGAAATCAATAAAAAATATATTTTTAAAAAGGATCAGAAGTTCCCACATAAATAGTTACCATCATGGTAAAGGGAATTGGGTTCCCTATATCACTTTCTTTCTCTTTCTCCATCCCTCCCATTTAAAAGAATGAATGCTGCTCTTTTGAGAGTTTCTTCTCTTAGTTAAAAAGTGTGTGTGTGTTGGGGGTGGGGGTGGGGAGGGGATGGAGCTGAGGGGATCAGGTCAGCTTTACAGGCCATCTTTAGTCCATACAGGATGACAGTCTGGGCACTTAATAGCCATAGCTGCTAAGCTGAAGCTTTCAAGAGATCACGGAGCATGGAAGGCATTTCCCGGGTGTATCAAATCTGACCATGCGCCTAGACCTGGCCTGTCCTCTCTGGTAAGGTGACCCTGGGCACATCATTGGGACATGTCCCCAGGCCACTCCTGACAGGTAAAAATGCTGTGTGTAAATGGCACAGGACAAAGCGGACTGGAGGGCAACACACAGATCACTGACAGCCTTGTGAACACATGAAGGTTCCCAGGTGATGAAAACAGCACTGCTCTGTGACCAGGAAGCCCCAGGGACACAGGAAGCTACTTTCCACAAACCACATAGCCTCTGTGGGGAGCCAGCATGACGTCTTTAATCACCAGCCTCTAGGAGAGCAGGTGATTCTTTCAGGAAGAAAGATGGGGACTCCCGGGGGGCCTCGTACCGTTTTCTTGGTGTGAGTACTCGCTGCCCACGATGGTGCAGCGCCGAAACACCATCTTGTTCTCGGTCAGTGTCCCCGTCTTGTCGGAGAAGATGTACTGGATCTGGCCCAGGTCCTCCGTGATGTTGAGGGCTCGACACTGGATGGACAGATCGGTCTCCTCATCATACAGGTCGAGGTCGTTGTGCAGGAAGAAGACTTGCCCGAGCTTCACCAGCTCAATGGACACGTACAGGGAGATGGGGATCAGCACCTGCAAGAGACCGAGTCCCACGGAGTCAGAAGCCAGGCCGGTTCCCTGTGTCAGGACCCTCTCTCAGGACCCTCTCTGATGGGAGGCAAAGGCCTTGAATGGAAAGCTGATGTCCGCTCGCGTGATGGGCTTTCTCTGGGAAATCAAAGGTTAGTGCCTCATGCCTCCCTTGACATTCTTAGGGGATATGCCTTCTTCAGGCAGGGGTGTCGGAATGAGGCAGGCACTCACCATTGGTTGTTCAATGCAGAGCGGGAAGTGGGTGAGGAACAGTTGTTCCTCTGTCTGGAGTCCCCCGAATCCCCCCGGATCTCGGTGCCATGGAGGGTGGCCTCCCACTTTTACAGGTGTTCAGACCCATTGTTGATTACTGGCCACTGATTCAATATCTAATATCTATTGAGCGCTTTGTGTGAGTCACATATTATTCTAGGTTCTGGACATGGCAGTGAGCAGAACAGAATTCCTGGCCTTGAAGACCTCAAATTCCAACAAACAAATAATTATACACCGGGTAGTGGTAAGTCTCATAAAGAAAAAGTAAAGAAGGTAGAGGGTGATGGTTGGGAAGGACTCTTATCAACCATGACCTTTGAGCAGACACCTGAAGATGGGGTGTGTCCTGAGGATATCTGTAGGAGGAGGAGCATTCCGGCAGCTGCTGGGCAGTGGGAGTGGGCAGGGTGAGAGTAAGTATGTGAGTGAACAGGACAGGGAGGGTGTCAGGATCCAGATCATTGAGGGCTTGTTGGTGGCAGCAAGGACTTTGGACTTCACTTTGAGAGGATATGAAATCACTGGCAGGTCTGTGCAAAGCAGGGGGTATGACCTGATTCACACGTAAAAATGGATTACTCTGCTAAACAAATGAACAAATGAATGATTCAAAAGAGTTCACCAGTAAAAGGACAATGAAACACCTTCAAGTAGTACAAGGAATTGAGTGTAGATGAAGCTGAGTCATCTTTTCATAGATTAGTTTCTTATAGAGCCTGCACATTTTTTCCTCCTTCTCTCGTGTAGGTTCTCTGTGTTTTTGTTTCTTTCTCCTTATAGGGTCAATAGCCTACTCCCCGCCACCTTGTGTTTTTAAATCTCAAGTGATAAAATACTAAAACACTAATCTGTGGTTTCTTCCTTTCAGTATTGAGGGTTTGACAGTTCTCTGTGCTAGTTTACTTTATTTTATACCCCAGTTATTAGGTTTCACCTGTTCAGTATTTGGCAAAGGGCCAGGCACACATGGGTCACTGCTGTAATCTTATTCTTATATAGAAAAGCATAATAAATATTCTTCTCCACAATTATCTGGGAGGAGGGTCCCCTCACAAAGCAGGGCTGGTCCTGACATGACCCCGAATGGGAATACTTTCAAAGGCCCCCACAAGAAAGCCATGAACATTTCCCCATCTCAGTCCAGTCAGTTCCTTCTTGGGACCAGCACTGAATTTTCCTTCACAGAGTTGTATGGTATTGGCCACAGGCCTTCCTAGCCATTAGTGGGAGAGGAGCTCCTACCTGGAGCAGGATGATCATTGTGAGGAACATGTAGAAGCCCCCAAGGGCAAGGGGAGGGAAGCTGCCCTTGGCATCCGGCACATCGAAGGGAGGATGTTCCCTAAACGTCCCGTTCCAGAGGCTGTGACCTGAGAGGAGGCAAAGCCAGGATGAGACAGAAGCTTCACTTAATTCCAAGGTTGGTCAATTACATCAGCCCTTGACCTATTCCTGGACATGAGTTTGCTTTGGAGGAGTCCACCCTTATCCTATATAATAAAAAGATAATATGCAAATTGACCCTAATGGTGGAATGACCAGAATGACTGCTCGACCACTCACTATGAGGCACACTGGCCACCTCTCGGTCCCTTCTCCTGGCCATCAGGCTCTGATCGTCGATGGAGAACGGGGATCTGGGGGTTGGTGACAGTGGGGGATGGGACTGGCAAGTGGGCAGAACGGCCAACCTCTCGGTTCCTCCCCACAGCCGTCAGGCTCCGATCACGGGATGGCGAACGGGGAACCGGGGGTGGGTGGCGGTGGAGGATGGGCTGGCTGTGGGCAGCTGAGGAAGATGGCCCTGATTGCAGGCCAGGCCTAGAGACTGTACCCGCACATGAATTTCATGTGCTGAGCCTCTAGTTCTATATAATATAGCTGTGTGTGTGTGTGTGTTTGCGCGCCCATGCACTCATTTAGCTCTGAAGTAGTCCTTCATACAGCCTATGTGTCAGTCTCTTGGTAGGCATTAAGTCTGACCTGCCAGAGGAGAGTATCATGGGGATTGCTTACATTTTGATGAAATTCTGTGATATAGGGGTTGGAAATAGAGAAAGGGACACATGTTCTTTCCAGTTGTGTGATTGGAAGTGCATGGCTTGGGAGTCCTGACAACCTTTACCTATCCTCTATACTCCCCCCATGCATTCTGGGCTAAGAAAAAAGAGCCACCACCTTCACACAGTCCAAGTAAATGTGTGATAAAGAACCCGGAAGGGAGTTCGTTGAGAGCTTTCGCCTCCTGCAGGGGCCCATCGCTGTGTGTGAGTCATTATTCTCAAAAAGAACAGGATTCTGCCCCTCCCATAACTCCCAATTTATGTATCATTTGGGCAATCTGCCAAGCTGATTCTGGCTTTTCTGCACCTTATCTCCCTGTGTGACCTTTTAACCATTAACTTCCTTTCTCTGGGGACATAGTGAGATGATCTCAAATGTCCTTTCCAGTACTGACATTTCTTAAACAAACCTGTCCTGAAGCAAAGGCAGCCAGCGGTTCCTGCAACTTAAACATTAGCCTGCTCAATTTAGTCAAACATTTAATGAACTCACCCCCAATGCATTGGCAGGACCAGACCAAATGATTTCTTAGGCCCTATATGGCCTAAGGGCCAGTTCCCCACTCCTGTTAAACTAGTAAGTTGACGTTAATTTTCTGTGTGCAGCCCTTCCTGAGAGGACAGACAGTCAGGAATCCTGTCCACGTGCTGGCTCCTTCCTGCTGGACCAGGAGCTGGGACGGGCTCGCCTTGTTATCCTTCACGCTAAGAGAGTATCTGACTCCTAACAGTATTTCTTGAACAAATAAATGATAGATGATATTTCTAATATTTTGTGTAATTAATACTTTCAAGAGATTTCACATTGGTATCCTGTGTTCATATAGGGGAGGCTTTATTTTTTATGAACTCTATTTTACAGATGAGGAAACCGAGGCTCAGAGAGTTGAAGCAACTTGTCCAAAGAAAAAGAAGATTACTGTGGCACTGTGCATTGTTCTTTCCAGAACATTCCATACCGACAGCTCCGATGAGGCACATGAGGAAGAGGAGCCCGATGCAGAAGAAGATGTCCGTGTTCATGCGGCGCTCTATCTTGCTGCGTTTGTACCGCGGGCCGCTGTTGTTCAGCATGGCTTTTGTCTCGTGGCCTGCAAGCGAAAATGAGATTATCAGTCTCTTGCCCCCCGTTTGCCTCTGGTCTGGACCATAGCCTTGGCTCTGCTCACAGGAGCCCAGTAACAGAGGGGCCTCCTGCCCTCACCTGCCTCTGTCCTGCCTCAGGGAGGCTGCTGAGAACTGCTGGAGAGGCCTCTCACAATTGGTCAGCAGGTACTTATTGAGCATCCCCGACATGCCAGCCACTGGTGGGCATGGACAGAGCTACCATGCTCAGGTTGTGCCCTGCACAGACCTAGAGGTATCCCTCATTTTGTAGTTGTCATAGGTTTGTAAGTTTATTATGACACATTTCTGGCAAATGACAGTAAACTGTTTTGAGGGCTTTTTCTAATTTGCACAAAGGCACTGTTATGGGCTAGTGGTGGTATAATACACTGCTAAGACAGATGACTCACATGTTGGTGAAAATATACAAGGAAACAAATACATGAGATAACTGCAGTCAGTAATACGTCCCATGAAATAAACAATAAACAAAAGGCTAATAATAAGAGATGGTTTTGGAAAGCATAGTCAGGGAAGGCTTCTCAGAAGAGGTGACATTTAAGGAAGACTTGAAGGGAGAGAAGAGTTGGGAGAAGAAGGTTTTAGGCTGGGGGAATAGTAGGTGCCAAGGCCCTGGGGCAGGACACTGCTTGGGGCCAGTAATTTTCGTATTTGTCTCTTGGTGACAAATATGTTGGTGTTGCTTGGGTAAGAGTGGTCAGGGCCAAAGGTCTCTACCCCAACATTAAATCTGTACAGCTCCACTCCTGTCTCGGAATTCTGTATGCATAATGTGTTGTTCAAAGAAAGGACAGCAAAATTTGAAAACTACTAATCTCACCTAACCACCCCTTTTTCTAGTTGGAGAAAAGTAGAAGGGACCTGCCCATAAAGAAAGAATAAATGACCGCCAGAGCCACACTGAGAACCCTGGATTCTAATTCCCAGCCTATTTCTCCTTCCAAGCAGCCCCGGGTGGTACCCAAGCCACACAGCCAGCTGCTGAGTCAAGCTGAGACTCTGTCTTTGGGCAGAGCCTGTCCTCTAGGGCTGCTAACTTTTAACTACCATGCTGTACTCCTTAGTGGTCAAATTAAAAAACACCAATCACATGTTTTCTGTGCAAAATTAAAGAAAACGAATACATCAGCTCCAGCGGCGAATGGGTTTAATGCTGTTTAGGTAGTTGCCCTGTGGATTTAAAGTGGCAACAAAACAGCAGGACCAGCAAACTCTAGGCTTATTAAATTAGACTCAAGTCACTTCAGTTGTGAGGGCGTTTGTATGGCACAGCGAGTACAGCCTGACTGTGCTGACGACACTGCCTTCCTGACTTCCTTAGGGTCACCCCATACAAGGGATCCCAGGACTACTCTCTTCAAACACCTGCTCCTCACCATTGAGATCCCTCTGTTCTTTTGGCAAGAGCTGGACTCAAGGGGGGAAGGCTGCATGGTGTAGCAGTTAGAACCTGGGCTCTAGAGTCAGAGCTAGACCCTGACGATGCTTGACCTTGGGTTACATACAATTAATACCAGGAGACAAGTGGCCTTGAGTGAATGATTCCCTTTGCACCTCAATTCCTTGTCTGCAAAATGGGAGATAATGGTTGTGTATGTATTTGGGGCGGGGGAGTGGATTAATATACACAAAGTACCTCCACGTGTTCCTTGTACACAGTAGGGGTACACACCTCCACACTCGATCTCTTCCTCTACAAAGCTCAGTTTGGCTTTTTGGGGCCTTAGATACTGAGGATACTCCTGTTTTGTCTGTCCATATTGTCCAGGGAGAGACTCTAGACCAGTCGTTCTCAACCACGGGGATTTTACTCCCCAGGTGACATTTGGCAATGGCTTGAGAAGGTGGTGCTAAGAGCATCTAGTACAGTGGTTCTCAACCTTCTGGCCCTTTAAATACAGTTCCTCATGTTGTGACCCAACCATAAAATTATTTTCGTTACTACTTCATAACTGTAATGTTGCTACTATTATGAATTATAATGTAAATATCTGATATGCAGGATGGTCTTAGGCAACCCCTGTGAAAGGGTCGTTCGACTGCCAAAGGGGTCGCGGCCTACAGGTTGAGAACCGCTGATAGTGGGTAGAGGCCAGGGATGCTGCTCAACATCCTATAAGGCAGCTCCCACCACCAACAGCCCGGACCTGTAAGTCAATCGTGCCAAGATTGAGCACCCGTGCTCTAGATGATAACACTGAAAATAATTAGTACTCTTTTTGCTCACATTTTTTTGAGAACCTAATATGTGTTGGGCATTGTGCTAGCCCATTTCACAGGTAATTTCATTTGAACCTCATGCCCCTACAAGATAGAATTCTTAGTGCACCCGTGTTGAAAGCCTAGCCAGCTAGCACTGGAATGTGCAGCTGGTGAGTGGATTTGAACCCAGGCAGCCTGACCCCCCAGAGCCACAGGGAGCTCTCTCTAAACCTGTCCCCTCATACAGCATTCCCATCATTCACATAGAGTTTTTTCTTTGTTTCTGGTCACTCAGAAAAGCAAACTCTAAGTGCATGAGGGTTTTCTTGCTGGGGCAGGGATTGCTACACAGCCCACCTTTAGTGCGTCTACCAGATGGCACTGAACTCATTACCAAAAACCCTTAAAAACAGTCATCTAAACTGACAAACACAACCTCCTTTCCCCCAAATTAGGGAAAGCTAGCTAGATTGTGTCATTATTTGTTTTAAAACCTGTTTTTGTGGGGTTTTTTTTTGATAGTCCCAAAAAGTGAATCTTAGAGTAGATTGATGTTTAGAATGCTCTTCTATGTCCATCAAAAGTGGGTTTCTACTCAGACCAAAACAAATCAAACAAAACAAGCAAACAAAATGCTACAAGGTATCCTAGTGAATACAAGACCCAGAGACATGTATTCTGGAGTCCTCCTGTGAGAGTAGACACCTCGGGGAGACCGTGTTTCCCCTACAGAGCAAGAAGTCTGCAGTTGTCAATGTTACAACCGATATTTATCGAGAACCCATGGAGCACCAGGTTCTAGGTTCCAGGGATACAGTAGTCGTAAGACTTTAGATTTCATTGTAAGATGTGTTGCTATCTTTTTAATTGGGAAGCAAAATGGCCATGGCAAGGTCAGATACATCATCATAACTGCAGCCATAACATGAATAAAGATAAATAATAATAACTGCAAAACACAATGAAAAACCATCACATTTTTACGTGCTAGATGCAGTGCTTTTCATGTGTTGGGTCATTTGACCCTCACAAGGACAAAGGCAGATACAAATGTTTTCCCCAGTGGATAGATGAGGAAGCCGAGGCACAAAAGGTGAAGTTATTAAGTTTGGTGAGGTTATTCCTCAGGCTCAGTAAGATACACTTCATCTTGCCTGTACAGTTAGTGTCACAAAACCATTGGAGGTAAAGGAGCAGGAATCTCCCTCCCTGTCTGTTCAGTTGAGTGACAGTAACTTGAAATCTATTATGTCTCCTGTGGACCGAGTGAGCAGCTGTGATTCCAGCCTCAGTTTGCTTAGCTGAGAAATGGGAAGTTACGTGACTCTACCCCTTAGAACTGATGTGAGTTTCCCCTGGTGGAGATGGATTTGGAGGAGGGGATAGAGGAGGGAACGTAGAGGGGGACCAAAGAAACTGTCCAGGGACAATGACCTGCATAGATGACAATGCCAACAGCCACCTCGGTGTTTCTGATGGTGCAGCCTCGGAGCAAAAGACTCTCACTGCCAAAGCCGGTCCTGGTCTGGTCAGGATGCTCCCTGGGGATGAGGAAAGACAGGGAGTAGTTTGATGGCTTCTCTATGCCGTCACTGGGCACAATGGTATCTCCATGGCATCCCAGAACTAGAAGCAGTAAGTGAACACAATCCCTATCCTCCTTCTTTTTCAGAAGAGGGATATTAACTCGGAATCTAGTCTCCATGTTCAAGTGCAACTCCTGATTGTCCTGGGAAGCTGGACCCTGAGAGGGAATGACCCACCCGAAGGAAATCCTCATCCCCCATCTGAAAGGGATCTGGCTTCTGGACCTACAGGGACGCATGTGTTCCCTCCAGGCTGTGGTCTCGTGCTTGCTGTCACCTGGCTGCAGGGACGGAACTGCACAAGCTGACCGTCCGAGTCCACAGCTGACACCAGGCAGTCCTGTCTCTTGGATGTGAGCCGGGTCAGGAAGGGCAGCTGGTGGGCTCCTCTCCTCCAGCTCCTTCTCTCGCTGGCCTCGCTCCTGTACCATCCTCCTCTGGCTGCGTCTCATAAAATAAACAGACCTCAAGGGAGGTGGTCAGGGGCCTTGGTGCGATGTAGGGGAGGCGACTTCTTAGAGCAAGATCGAGTTTTTTCTCTCGCTCCAGGCTCAGGGAAATTGCACTTTTTTGTTGCACACTAGAAAATTCTGAGTCCTACTAACACCAGATTTTACCCCGTGTCTGGCCCTTCTTTCACCTGATGCCTTTCCTTTGGGAGTTTTCAGAAGTTTAAACATAACTTCCCCACAACATTGGGGTGAAGAAAAATAATAATCAGAACCTTTAGGGCTTTTTCTCCTCCTAGGTCTTCAATACTTCCTTTTCCAGGGCTGGTATATGTGGTTTTTTTAAAATGTATTAACTCAGTCATCATGACAGCCTTGTAAGATAGAGTCATGTAATTGTACCCACTTTATAGATAGGGAAACTGAGGCAAGTTCAGAGAGATAGTAAGGGGCAGAGCAGGATTCCAACCCAGGAAGCCTGGCTCCAGAGTGCTCTATTGTAACTCAAAATATCTTTTAATACGAATTATTCCTTACTCTGTTTACAAACTGCATTGTCTGATGTTATTTTATTTGACTTTTCAAGGCTCTGGGAAGGAAGCAGGGTGGTCATCCTTCCTTGTGAAAAAGGTGAAGCTCAGAGAGGATGACAGAGTTTCCCAAAGCCACACACCTGGGACACGGGGCATCTTAGGACTCGGGAACCCAGGCCACAGACACCAAACCTCCTGCGGGTTTCACTTAGGTTTCTCTAGCTGTTCTTTGTGATAAAAAAGAAAGAAATTTCCTCAGGACCCGAATGCTTATTTGCTTGGCCATTTTAAGGAAAAAATGTTTCTCGCTGAAGAGGAGATATTTACTAGCAGCACATGGGCATGAGATACTTACATGTAACCCTTAAATTTGTTGAGGCGGTTGTTGGGTTTCTCACACACGATGGTGTTGTGGAAGTGTTCTGGTTTGAACTGGGCCTCCTGTGAGAGAGAGGATGTCACAAGATTATTAAGAGGGATCTACTTTTCATAGATCGTTGGGGCGCTAATTGTTGCAAATAAGATAATCCCTGCTTTGTCGCAATGTGATAGTTGCCACGTATTAGGAGAAAAAGTTAAATCCTCATGAAAGAGGAAAACCTAGATGCAAATAAAATTTGGATTGACAGCAGAGAAAAGGGAGTGAATTTACGGCTGAAAGCTCCAAAGTACAGCTAGCTGTTCAAAGGGGCAAATTGATTAGAAGAAATGATAGCATTTTCTGGCTTCGTGTAAATATACTGTCCATTGGATCTGTGGAGGCACCAGCATAAATAAATTCTCCAGTCACTTGAAATAAATTACCCATCCAGGAGTTTCTAAAAATATGGCCCTTTTCCCTCCAGGTATCGATTCTTTCAGGGACAAACACTTGCCGAGTTCTGAGATGATGACAAATCATGCTGTAATTTGTCAGCTGCTTTCGTGCCCTGATTAAGCTGTGTGCTTCACTCTGATCCATCCACTCGGCTCGCCGCTGGCTTTCTGAGTCCAAACACAGTTCAGGGAGGAGTGGCCTCGGAGTCTGAGAGCTAAAGATATTGCTGCAGCGAGTCCCCGATGTCTGTTTAATGGCAGCTGGTGGATCCCTGGTAATGGCCAAGTTTCCCTTTCTTGTCCCAGTGACCTTCCTCTTAAAGTGCCCCTTGCTTTGCTTTGCTTCTGGGCCTTGGCCTTGGGTCCTCTGTCTGACTCCCTCTCCTCTTGGAGAAGTGACCTTACCTTTTCTAACCACCTGTCCCCTGGGCCACCTTCCTTCCCTCCCCAAGATGGGCTGTGGAGAGGAGTGTGTGGGCCCTGCTGCATCCAAAGACAACTCCTCAGGCCCGGCTTCCTTTGAAGCATTTGCCGAAACTTACTCTTGGGAGCTGTGAGGAGAGACCAAGGACAGGAGGGCATTGCCACGCCTTCCAAACCTGCCAGGCCCTTAATTGAATCAGGAGTTTGGATTCCCTTCTGATTCCCTGCCTCACAGCTTCTCTTAGCTTGTGGATGAAGCTCACCTAAGCAACTTCTCTTCTCACCCAGCCTTCTACCGAAGGCACTGACCCTGGTGGAAGTCTCCCTAACAGAAAAATGGCCAGGAAAAGACAAACTCCTGCCAGAAAGAAAAGTGCATGTCTCTGCATTCTCCGGGCCAAGCCTACCTACCCTGAGCACGTAGTATGTTCCAGGAACCTGCCACTAAGTCCTCACAGTAGCCGTAAGAGGTTTTGACAGATGTGCAAATGGAGACTGAACTAAAGCCATTGCTTTACAGTTTGTAAGTGGCAGAGCCAGGATTGCAATGGATATGATTGGAATCCAAAGCCAACTGTGATCATACTCACTATCATCATCATCATCATCATCATCATCATCATCATCATCATCATATTTATTCCTCTTCCTCCTGTTAGTGTGATAACTATTGCTCTAGCACAGCTGTGGGCAAACTACGGCCCGCGGGCCGGATCCGGCCCATTTGAAATGAATAAAACTAAAAAAAAAAAGAGACCGTACCCTTTTATGTAATGATGTTACTTTGAATTTATATTCGTTCACACAAACACTCCATCCATGCTTTTGTTCCAGCCCTCCGGTCCAGTTTAAGAACCCATTGTGGCCCTCGAGTCAAAAAGTTTGCCCACCCCTGCTCTAGCATCTATTGGATGCTTATTTTGTGTCAAGAACCAACTATGTATTTTATACATGCTATTTCCTTTAATTCCCTGAAAAGGATCTAACTAGTCTCACTCATTCATTCATGCATGCAAGCTTTATTGAATGCTATCTGAACCAGAGTGAGGCAGAATCAGAGAGAAGAGGTGATTGACACAAATCAGTTATTGCAGCTGTAACACCACTCAAAGTTCCCAGTTCAACTTATGTATCAATATTGGTATCTATGAAAGTAGAGGAAAATCAGCCAAGGCCAAGGGTCAGTGTGTAATGACTCTCCAGGCGAACGTACTCCTCACTGACCTATGGCCCAGAAACAGCCAGCTGCCTCCTCCCAGCCCCACTGGGAAGGCCACAGGGAAGCAAACAGCCTGAAATATATTCCAGTAACTGGAACAGGCCATTTCACTTGCACAAGTCTTAACTGTTACTTTTCTAGGCTGAGTTTCCACTATTCTTCACAGTTGAATTTCAAGTTGTTCTATACATATAATTGCATAAAGGCATGAACGCTCTTTTGAAATACTTTGTAGTTTTCTGGTGATCACTGTTCACTCTACTCCTCTTTCATGAAGAACCATTTAACTTCCTTATGGGAAACTATCTCACCTCCATGGTTTCACAATTTCAATGGGAATTAAGTCAAGATGCCCTGTCCCCTAGACTCTCCCACTGTGGGACTTTGACTTGAGTGGAATGACGCAAGGAGGAAAAACCAAATGAGACCATTAAGTAATTGCTGCTACCCATCTATCCCACTGCACTGTTTCCTGGTTCTTGTTTCTGAGCCAGAGTCTTCAGCTTTCCTTTGATTCTGTGAGCTATATTGTGTGCTTCTTCCCGTCCATCCCATCCCCCACCACATTTTTTTTTGCAATAATTCTGTTTTGCTTAGTTAGATCATTTCTGTTGCTTGCAGACCGAGAATCCTAACCAACACAGCGGCCTACTCATTTGCATGGGCATATCTGGGCCTTTAAAGGATAATGATGTTTATTAATTTGGTAACGTTACAGTTCAGAAAATGCTGCCTCTTATTTATTTGACCTTATTTGATCTTCACAACTCTCCCGTGACATGTTCAGGACAGGTTATTCTGTTTTATTGAAGATAAAACGAAACGTTGATTACTCTCAAGTAATTTGCCCAAGGTCTCACAGCTCATGAGCACAGAGGTTTGTCTGGTTCTAAAATATGCACTGTTCTTTGCTTGATTTAACTAATTAATGCTGTTTGCCAACAGAGCAAACCCTCTTGGCCCATTTCATGATTTCTTTGCAAGTTTTCCATATTGATAATTCACTTAAACTTTCATAGCCAAGCTCAAGAGTGACACCTCTTAAGGACCCTCTGTTCACCACATACCATTGCACTCTCTCCTTCCTTTGAACCTAGACAATTCTTAAATATCTATGCCACTCACTTTAAATTTGTCTTATACTTTTAAGTGGCAAGTACCAAGCTGTTTCTATAAGCCTATCGGTAGATTAAGTATGGCAACTGGTCCACAGATTTCCATATACACCCAAATGTCATCTGTAGACAGAGTAAAAATAAGTCTCACTTATACATGGTTTTCTAATTTCTATAGGAATTCCTGAAATCAATAAATTACAAATCCATTTTAAGAAGTCATCAAATTCATAGTAACTCTTTGTTATTCTTTTCCTAAATAAAGGACTCTGAAAGGACAACTACTTTCAGGAAGGAGAGCTTAGAGGGGGTGGGTTAAGATTTCAAAAAATTTTTGATAGACACAGGGATTTAAATTTAAAGAAAAATGGAGCCCTAGCTCTGAGAGTCTGTTACCCATACAACCCTCAGGTTAGAACCACCCCTACCACCCCACCCCCCCCACACCACACAGGGGTTGTTAGGGTGGCAAAGCAGCAGTGGTAACTCATTTGTAGTGCATGCCTGTGGACTCTGCAGGGACCAGGGTTACAGGGTACACAATCTTCACCAACCCTGGCAGCTATTAGAAGGAGGTACACTGCAATCTTGCAAGAATGCTATTTAAAGTTTTGTGTTTTTTTTTGTTTTTTTTTTTTGCATACTCGTTTGGATAAATTGTAGAAGCAAATGTTCTTCATGCCTCAGCTGCTGAGCCAGGTGACAGAGGTTTCCTTCCTGGCATACAAATTAACCCGCTGATTTCTGGGAATCCTCTTTGAAAACTAATGACAGTTACCAGCACTTGATAACCTTCTTACTCCCGGGTGGGATAGAAGTCCTTTCCAAGATCAGCCACCATAGGCTGACTGGCAGCTACTGTCCCCTCTGATCTGGGTGAGGAAATGGTCTGCATATTCAATGACTCTGGGTCCCTCCTACAAAAGCACACAGATTGATCTGGAGGGCTCTGCCTTATAGTCCATGTGCCCTTTTCTCAAGTGGACAAATGTTGACTAAATGTAATCTTGAAATCTTTTCTTTAAAAAATTATTTATTTTATTAATATTTTTAAAAATATATTTTTATTGATTTCAGAGAGGGAGGGAGAGGGAGAGATAGAAACATCAATGATGAGAGAGAGCCACTGATCAGCTGCCTCCTGCACTCCCCACACTGGGAATGGAGCTCACAACCCGGGCACGTGCCTTAACCGGGTATTGAACCATGATCTCCTGGTTCATAGGTCAACACTCAACCACTGAGCCATAGCAGCTGGGCTTGAAATCTTTCTTTTTAAATTGACTTAAAATTATATTAGTTTTAGGTGTCAACATAAGAGTACTGAGGTCATGGCAAAAGAAGTCAGGAGTCAATTTGAAGACGTTCCCACTGAGTGAGACAATCAACAAAGGTAATAACTGCACTGATTTGACATCAACCAATATGATTAAATCCACAAGTTCATACGGATAATAAAAAGGAAAAAACCTCATCAGTCACCTCTGGAGGATGCTAGGGAGTCAGCTTATCTAACATTGACATAAACATGCACAGACACAAATCTAACCAGAATCCGATTTAGGCAGGAGATCTAACTACCAATGTTAGAAATACGTCGCACGGGGAAGCATGTTAAATGTCACTACAGGGAGACAGTGCAATCAGCAAAATCAAGACTATCGGAGATTTTACAGGACAAATAACCTGGTTTACTCAGAAACAAAAACGAAGTATGCAAGAAAAAAAAAGCAGAATAGGCAATCTATAGAGCAAGAGGTTTAATAATCTAATCTCAATATTTGAATACTGATTCAGACAAATTAAAAATATCCAACACTGACCTGAAAGTTGATATCAAGGAATTACCTTTAATATTTTAGGTATGA